ACTAGTAAGCAGGAGGTCGCGGGTTCGAGTCCCACCCAAGTAAGCTTGTGAGGTTTTTTCGCAAGCTCTCGGACAAGCACTGAGCATACAGTGTTTATTAATATACGTTGGGTAAGGGCAAACCCGTTACATATAATTAACTAATGGCTGACTTTGCACAGTGATGAAAAGCAAGGCAATAGTGCACGAAGATGAAGGATTCGAGGTGAAATTCACTAGGTATCCCAAGAGAGGTCAGGGAGATTTGCTGAAGCAATGCACTGTGGTAAGTTTACCCATGGTGTCTACCAAGCATGAAGGCAACTTCGGGTTAGACAGAATGGCAACCAGCATGAATCTTATCCTTGTGAGGTCGTCAGGAGGCTTATAACAACAGGAGGTCAATAGTCATGAGCGCTACCAGTACTTGAATATTACGGCAATCAAAGTAGACAAGGGTCTACATGTACCCCTGCAGGTCACAGAGGAAGCAAAACGGTCCTGACTGATGGCGAACCAAGCAGGCTCTCTATTCTGAAGAAAATTATACTTAGTCAATGGTGATGCCTGTAGTAAACAGGGACAAAACCCAATGTGCATTCAAACTAAGTTACAAAAAGTCAAATGTTGAATTTTGTCCTCGAAATGATAAAGAATGTCATGCTCGGCCGTTTAATTTTTCAGCTGTGCATATTCAATGTCATAACCTGGTACTCCAGTTTTTTTTAGATTTTTTAATGGCAATTTGCAGAAGCCTTTGTCAGTTTGGTGTTTAAATGTCCTTTTTGAACGCTGCGACTTGCGAAAGTAATGATTCTGCAGTGGCAAGGAAACTGGAAATGCCTGCATTAATGCAGTATTTCAAGAAGATGAGTAGTCTTGCATGGTTAGGGAAAGAGCGACAGATGACAGTGCAATTGTGAGCCGCACTTTATGAAAATGGAATAGAAATGGAAGTACATGTAGCTGCGGGTAGCTGTGAAAACAAATGGAGGTAGTGGAGGGAAAAAAAACCAAATATCGGAAATGAAAAGTCCAACCTGTAGCATGCTAATTCTCTTCCCCCCGGCTTTGGCCAAGGGTGCTCTGACTGATCGGATGACAGACGCTGGCTTATCAGAAGAGGTGGCTGCCGCTGAGAAGGGCTTGGGGCTGATATTCTCCGAAACAGAACTGATACTTGGAGAGCGGCTGGACTGTTTTTTGGGGGGCGAGGTCATGGAAGGTAATAATACACATAAAGGCATGCATTTACATGTTCGTAATCTTCCACTCTGATATGTGAATGGACACATGAATACGAGTTGCTGAGAAATCATTGCTTTTAAGTCTGTTACCCTGCCTTATTACGAGCACAACCATGTGCAGGGTCTACTCGATACAGTGTTACAAAGAGTAACACTAACATGACAAACATGTACCTTAATTCTTGTCACTACTCAGGTGCTACAGTCGTGCATCTAGGTTACCACAGCTAAAGTGCACCAATTTCTACTTAATGATTTCTCCTCCCCCCTAAAAAAAAATCAATGCAAGCTTAATGGAAACAGAATAAACCAGTCCCTGTAATCAGTCTTGTCAAGTACTCCATTTTGCTTCAAGGAATACGGGCAATTCACAATAGTGCACCTCCAAAAGTTTGCAATGTGTTGATCAATCACAATGCCTGAAGTCTGCCAACCCAATGCGCCTTTGGAAAGGGTTAAGAGAGTTCATAAACTGTGATTGGCCAACAAGTTGCAAGCTCTTTTGGACTAAAGTTCCTTACATCAACAAATACGAGGGGTTGAGAAGGTAAGATAAAAAATAGTTCTGCTTCCTATTACATCGTATCTGAAGACAGGGTGGGTAGGTCAACAAATTTTTCTATTGTTGTTTTAATACTGAATCAGTGTGCAGCTAAGTGTTAAAGAGCACTACTAAGGAAAACATGTCTTCTCTGATTTTTATCTGATCAAATAATATGGAAGCATCCAAATTGAACGCAGTGTCATTTGTCTTCAGAGCTCAACTATAACAAGCTTAAAAGGGCTTTTTTCCTGTTCGTGCCAAGATGCAAATTCTAAATGTACACGTATATTGCATCATTTGGAGAAAACAGAGAAAACGAGGGCAACCCTCGCCCTGTGTTCACAGTGGATCAACTGTTGTGTATGCCAAACAACGGCTACATGCATTGCTTATTGTTTAAACTACAATGGACAGATTTTTTTCTTCATTTTAAATTTCACAGTGGCCCAAAATGTCTTCCCTAAACAGAAATTTTAGGGTTGTGACATCAAAATAGGTTAGGTGAGGAAGCAGGAAGCAAAACTGTGTTTTTTTTGGGGGGGGTGGCCCAAGGGGGAAAATTTCATTGACCTGTGCATAAGGAAATGGATTCTCAGTAAAAAATCAATGTTAAAACCAGCCCATATTTGACACACATCACAGAACCTTTGGCTGGTAACCTTGTATTGTTATGAAGGAAATACTGTCAGACCTCAGAAAATCTATTCACATCAAAGTTCAGTGTCAGTGGTTCAAGTCCTCAGAGAGACCCGACTCCGGAAGGATCCGAAGCTTTGAAATTCCAGATAGGTCACCTGCCGAAATAATTTCAAGCTAATCTTGATGCTGGAGTCAGAGTATAGTAGGAAATGTCCAGTTTATAGCCAGATGCTAATTTCTCCTGAGTCTTGGTCGTCTGACTCTCCAACGCCTACCTTGTCCTCGGCCTTGGGCTCTTTCGCCTCCTGCTCCTCCCTGGCGAACTCCTGAGAGATTTGCCTGGTGACGGCCAAGGGGTCGACACCCCCAAACATGGACACAGCGCCGGCCGGCTTCTTGGGCTGGGCAGCCGTGGTAGGGGGAGGCGACTGCAACAGATCAAGGAATTTGGTCATCACCACTGCTAACAAACTGTGCATCTTAAAAACTGAGGCCCAATGTCTTGGTTCTGCTACAGCAAACAATTGCTATTGGCTACTTCATTTCATGGGCTACTCGGGGATAATGACCTCACACAGATGTGTGTACTGGTACATGATGTGCTAGACTTATGCTAGATTTTGGGTTGGACTTCAAACTGAAGCTTTGATTACTTTATGACAGGCTTTTTTCTTAAAGGGTCACTTTTCACTCTTGCTAGTGAACAAAACAGCAATAATTTGTAAACGCATAGCCCTTTAAGTTAATTCTAATATGTAAATTTAGGAGGTTCCACATTTTTTGGCAGTGATATTTTGGTTTCTAATTGAGTTCAGTTAATAAAACACCAACCAGCTAAAAAAACAAACACTGCAACTCAAAAACACACTGACAACACTGTAAACCTGACATGACAAAGGATAGAAAAAAAAACTTATGCGCTCAACTTTCAGTAACTCCATTATGCGCACTGCAGCTGGTTAATCAAAGTGAAACATATCCAGTGCCATGCGTGTAATACCAAAAACGTGAATGTAGACACCACGGACTTGCATGCTTTACTGTGGGATTACCATATTTTTAGAAGATTCCAACACAGAAAGAATGGACTGAGACAGAAGTTGAGCTGTAATGAGTTCAATGTGTAAGCATACAGTGTGTCAGTGTGTTTTCTTACCAATAAATACTCTCTCTGGGCCAGTCTAACAACACTTGCCTTATCAGCAAAGCCTTGCATTCCTTTCAGAAATCATGCTATTGACAAACATTGCTTTTCTCCTGTGACGGTGGACACCTTGTCGACAATATTGTGTTTTTGATACTCCACTCATGCATGTAGCTTCCTTGCATTCTCTATGCACTGGATGACGTTACGTTCTCTTCAGATTTCATCCCATATTACACCAAGTAGCTTTGTCCTCTTACAGCGCAACTATGATAACTTGTGCACTCAGTTTCTTCGCAATCAATGACTTTTCGTATATCTTATTTATTTTATATATTATATTTATATATATTTTATTTTATTTTCCATTCCAATTTAAAAACAAGTCAAACCTCTCCTCAAAGAGGAACTATATGTTTAAAGTCCAAGTCCTACATGTACATGTATCAAACAAAAATGTACTGAGAGATAATTCCAACAACTGACAGACATGTGGAGAGGGAAAACAGAATAATACATGCACATTTAGGCAACTGCAGACGTAATATGAAAGCAACCACTACCCTCAAGCCATGCATCTGGAAAATTTCTCACCCTCAAAAGGTGCAACTTACTTGATCCCCAAACAAGGGGTCGCTGTGGGTGGGACTGTTGCTAGAATCCTCTCCCACTTTCTTCTTGGATGGCTTTGCCTTGACCTCGGGTGTGGCTGGCTTGCTCTTGACTTGGGGCGTGGCCGGCTTGCTCTTGACCTGGGGCATGGCCGGCTTGCTCTTGACCTCGGGCATGGCCTTAGCCTTGCCGCCTCCCCCAAATAAATCGCTGTCGTCGTCATCGTCCCCAAATAGGTCCACCTGGGAACTGGCCCTGGGCTTGGTAGAGGGCTCCGCCTTCTTGGCGGGTGGGGCCTTAGTGGCAGATTTGGGTGTGGCTTTTGCAGCAGCATCAAAAAGGTCATCTTCCTCCTCGTCACTGAAGAGGTTCTTGCCGGCGGAAGAGGCTGATCGCGGCTTATCAACGTTTGAATCAGGCTGATGTTTAGTGGGCACAAGAGAAGTTTAATATCCCTATTCATAACCATGACGAACCACGGACAGCTCTTAAATAGTATACTAGTAGCTCTCAAAAACATGTTTCTGAATTATGAAGCTATGGTATGTTTGCTTTAATGTGCATGTTATTCATATCGTAACAAGTTCAGGTGATACAAATCTAAACTCTGACCATACTCCATCCGTTAAAATTCTAAAATGAAAACTAAAGAAGTAAGGGTTAATTCTATAGTAACTGTATAGTTGGTATGTTAACGGACAAGGAGAAAATGGATTCCTTGTGATGATGCAGTGGTGGTCAAAGTTTTGAAGATTTTGGCTCCAAGAGTTGAGAAATTACTGTACTTTTTTCTGGCCAATTTATGGCATCCTAGTGACTATACATCAACTATACATCACTGCCACTGACGTATTTCTACAAACAAGGAAAATATCAATATAATTGACAACATCAATTAACCCTAACCCCCTAGGGTGTATATAACATCATATTGAAATCAGAGGATTTGGGACTGTTTAGGGCTATATTACTCAGTGGTGAAGCCAGCTCCCTCAGAACAACCATGCTTCTGTCTACGTCATTAATTGAGTATATTAAACAGCAGGAATTTCAGTCAGCTTTGCAAAAGTGAGTTAAATACAAGTTTCACCTTTTTCCATCGCCCACTGCACTGCCTTATCACTGACTTATACCAGTATGTCTAGTTGTCAGTGAATCCTCCCCCCCAAGTCCTTGGTTCATGGGAAATCTACTCTTCTCTCTTTCCATGCAAAAAACAGCAAACCTTCATCTATCACCAGTCACACTTGCATTTTGAACAAGAAATGTTTGAGTAAAAATTTGCATGTCGGCCAATGGAAGGGGAAAAAGCTCAAGAATTTGTGTTGACTAAAAAAAAAACTTGTATAAGTGGTTCAAATTGTAGAAATGGACAAAAACAGAAGAATGAAGGCAAAGAAAAAAGTTGGTTTTTTTTAAGGTTTCTAGAAAGAAGACGTCGTTTGAAATCAAGTTTCTGGCTTACCTTGGTAGCCGAAACAGGGCTGGTTGACCCAAACAGGTCAACAGGGGGCGCTTCTTCCTTGATGTTGAAGAGAACGTCCTCATCGTCGAACACGCTCTTGCTCTTGGTTCGGTGCCTCATGACCTTGAGAAAGCAAGAAAATGGGAAAATGGACGGATATGCCAGTTTGCCTTACGAGGCCATTGTGGAGCGTCAAAAGTGGATAACACCATTTTCTAATTTTCTGCTGGTAGATTTTTGGGATTTTGGAGTTTGCGTATAGCATTTTAAAAAAATGCAATTTTCCGCTGGCAGAAATTTGGATTTTACTTTTAACAACTCTCGTGGAACGTCAAAAGTGGACAACTGAAAACTTCAAATTCCTACTGTCATGCTCCAAAAGTGGACAACCCCATTTTCTCATTTTCTGCTAGTAGATTTTTGGGTTTTTTGAAGTTGTACCATTCCTTTTCAAAAAACACAATTTTTTGCTAGCAGAAATTTGGATTTTACATAGACGAGGGCGGGGTGGTCCATAAGGGGACAAGAAGAACTTGAAAGGACACTTTTCTCCCTACGTTGAAATGGAACGGTCTTAGGAACTTGAGATTGGCATCACCAGACCCAGAAAAAGTTTCATAATGTGGACAACAGTTGGGAAGCGGCTGCCAGAGTGACAGTCCTTTGTACATGTAGTACAGCAAACTTGCGCAGCCAGCCCATTGTATTGACCCGCCGTCCATTGACGGGCATCAGGTGTCATTTGGACATTCTCTTGCTGTGATTGGCCTTTTACATGCAACTTACATTTTCATCTCTATATAGCCGATTTTGTGGAAAATATAGGGCCTTTTTTACGCCAAGGATGTGAATTTTATGGGAGTTTAGAGGGGAGTATTATTCTAAAGGAAGTTTTTGAAAATAATATGTCCAAGATTGACAAAAATTATGGACTGATTATGGTGGAAGTTACTCGGAGTGGCAAAAGTGAACAACCAATTTTTTGATCTTCAGATATAAGATTTGTTATACAATCCACAGACCACCATCCATGTATTTTACAGTACATGCATATGATGACTGCTCTGGGCCTTCACTTGCAAGTTTGTGTTTTCATTGCGTTAATATCTCTTCACATTGACACTTTGAATCATTCGTCATTAGTAATGACCCAGGCCTCCACTATATCTGCCCACTTGTATTTGATAACTCAAACAAAGATTTGAACAATAAATATTAAATTAAATCTTTGGTGTTATATCATTGACCGACTGTTGTACTGGCTGAAAGATTTATTTTCGTTGTGGCTATCCTTTTTGTGATTGGAATTATTGGCTGAATACATGTTTTGGAATTTGTGGGATGTCAAAATTAATTCAGCAAGTTCAAGTTGCATTTTAATGTTTCCCACTTTACTTTCTCTATTTTCCCCTTTTTGAAAATCTTGGTTCACTTGATTAAGTAGCACTTAGCTTCTTCTCTTGACATGACTTTTTCAATTCCAACTTTTTAGCATTCCACAACAAATTTAATTATACTACTAGACATGGATACAATGGTTTATTACAGCTAGCATCGTTTAGGGGACATATCACCATGCGCTCATTTATTTAATATGGAAATTCCCGACGGCAAGCCGCCATCGTCATTCTAATTAAACGGTGCGCTGGGAAGTCGTAAGTTTGCGGTATACCATAAAGGACTGTCAGGCTTTCGACGGCCCCTTTCGTATTTGCAAGCTTCTCAATGAGAATCGTCCACATTTTTTTCTGAGCTGTGACGCCATCCGCTAGACCATTGACCCTCTACCGTTAATGTAGACTGTCCATCTTCCAAGACCGTTCCATTCTGAGCGTAGGGAGCACTGCGGTCATTTCAGTTTTCAACTTGTCCACTTTTGGACCACCCCGTCGTCGTCAAAGTAAAAGGGATGGTGCAACTTCAAAAAATCTACGGGCAGAAAAATGGGGGTTTGCTAATGGGAATTTGAAGTTTTTAGTTGTCCACTTTTGATGCGCCACAAGAGTTGTTAAGGTAAAATCCAAATTTTTGCTATCGGAAAATTGCATTTCTTGAAAATGCTAAAGTACAAAATCCCAAAAATCCACTTTTGGCGCTCCATAGGCCATTGGGAGTTCACAATTTTCACCCTGGGATGAACAATTTGCACGAGCGTGTATACTGATGAAAGAGGGGAGACTCACAATACAGTGCATCACCAAGAACCATGGAGAGGCCATTTTTTAAGTTTAGGGTTGACAACAGCATGGCCCCCTTGCTGCAACTTGCACATATGTGACCTGTTTCAACAAAATGAGAGCAAAGTCGCATCTTGCGCTTTCCTATCTTCAGGATTCAAAGTCATATTGAAGGGAAGGTCTATTTTGAGGTTTTGTAATATTTGGAAAGAATTTCTCACAATGCGCTGCAACCTTTTGATGACACATTGTATTGTAAATTGTCCTCGTTGAAGATGAGTTTGTGTTCCTTATGTTCGGCCGAATCTGCTACATTAGTCCTGGAAGGTCTGCAGTAACACCAAGGAAGTTAATCTCATGTTTTTATTTGTGTAGTTCTACGTAGAACCAGTTATTTCATTAACATTTTGAACAGTAAGCCCTCTGTCATCAGGAGACTTATACAGATATCATTCCCATTATCATCAGGGGACTGATAAACAAAGTACACTGACTGAAATGTCAAGCTGAAGCAACTGGTTCTTCTCAGAATGACACAATTCAAAAAGGAAATTAAATTCCATGGTGTTAGGGCAAACCTTTCATACTTTCTTCATGCGACCATGCACAGCTACATGTACATGTATAAGTTTCATTTTACCAAGTTGGAATATCATACTGGAATTGTGACCAAATGCACTGGAGTTAAGATTCAAATGACAACACCAGGACGGGTATGAATAGACAACACATTGCCATCTGCCCAGCAATTAAAAAAAAGCCGCCTCATCAACTAAAAAAAATCTTGGTCGTTCATACTGTGACCTTACTGGTTCGTCCTTCTTGGCTGGGGAGCCATCACCAAAGAGCTGATTGTCCTGTTCGTCGTCGTCAAACAGACTCAGTGTGTTTCTGGACTTGGGTGTGGCATCCCGCTTCTGGAAAAGTTGAGGCAGAAAGTGTGCAGAGAGTGTACTGTACACTTGAACTAGCCTCTAGGCAAGGCACCCCCGCCATGACCAGCTTACTTTGGTCCATGCACAGGAGTAGATCGGGGGAGGGGAACAATGTGTACCACGGCCCCATTGTGAATGTTCAAAGTCTTTTTCCTTTTCCTTCATTCCGAAAGTGTGTAAAATGCACCACAAGGTAGCTTTAACCCTAAGAAACACCGTAACAGGTTACATAAAAACACAGAAGTTTCCACCCCTCCCCTTCCCTCCAACCCCCCCCCAAAAGAAATTGGTTCAGGATTTGCTGTTGAGCATGCAAGGCGACTAAGACACTAAACCCAACATTAACAGTCACTGCTTCCTCTGGTGGCACTTCTGTTTTCTCTTTAGTCCTCTCTACTTTGCCTGCAAAATTCAAAATCTGAATTTCTGTCTATGTGTAGCAAGCCACAGCCCTTGAGATGAGGCTAGCCTGTGTATTAAAGACTACTCTTGAACGTGTGGGTCACACCAATGGAAATACCACCCCTAGTCAATGGGATGACAAGCTGTGTATGCACAGGTAAGTGTAGATGTACCATGGAAGCATGTGCGTAGGCATGGTGATCCAAGAAGAGCCCTTTCGTTTTCAGAATATGATGCAAATAATACGCTCCCACAAAACAGTGCACCCCTGGGGAAGGAAAAAGTTCTTTATGAGGGCATCCTGTCTGGAATTCCATATTTTGAAGAGGTTTTATGATGGAGGACAGTACTTCCTTGTAAACTTTTAATAGGGTACATTATTACAAGACAGGTTTTTCATGGTCTCCAAAACAATAATGATTTCTACAGAAACCTCACCTTGACGGGAGCGTTTTCCGTCTCTTCTTTCTTGGGCGAGGTGCTGAACATGTCGGCGTCTCCAAACAGTGCTACTCCACCGGCTGGCTTCTTCTTTGTCCTGTCAAAAGAGTCGAAGTCATAATACCGTGTCAGAGTAATACTTTATAAAAACATGGTCAACGTATTAAACTTGCATCATTTCAAGGAAGTGGTGTAGAATGACTAGTCTCTTGATGTTGGCCAGTTTTGATGCCGTGCCCATGAGGAAGCACTACAAAATTGTGAGGATGTGAGTAACATAAGAAGCCTGAACATCAATCTGAGTGAGTGGTGGTGTGTTCCCGACTGCAGCGCTTGTGAGTGATCACATAACACCCTCTGCCATTCCTGCACACAGTACAGGAACACACATGTACATGTAACTTTACTTTCAGAGTGATATTTACACTTAAAAAATTCTGTCAAGTGTGTTGATTTCTATAACATGTGAAAAAAAAATGAGTTGGACTTCACCAGAGCCACTCTCGAGTTAGACACAATGCAGATGGACGAAAACCCTCAACATTATCCACCCACATGTTGTCCATTTCCATCAGGATGCCTAACTGACTTGTACATCAAAACTGAGAGCTCTGTTTGCCAGTTTACTGCAGATGGACCCACTGCGCCCGCTAAAATCATGCAACCTATAGTGGGTATCAACCCCATAGCAACATGTGTTTTGAGTGTTGTTCACAGCCAAGTTATGGTAGAGTACCCAGCACATCAGTAGTCTGAGTACGGTACCTATACTGTCGGCTTTATTTAAATGATACTTATGAAGTACTTTGCTTTTGGTAGATGCAGTGTTTGTTGATATTTAATACCTACTATGGGTCATGCGAGTTTAGCAGGCGTAGTTGGTCTATTAGAACAAAACTACTGATTTTTGAAAGTCTATCCTTGAGATTTATTTCAAGATCTTATCACAAATGTATCAGGAATGCTTCCAAATTGGGACCACAATGGCTTACGTCTCCTTGGGTTTGGAGGTCGCTCCAAAAAGGTCGTCTCCGTCATCGCCCTCAATGTCATCGAACAGACCACCGGACGGCTTCTTCTTCATGTCAGGCTGTGGTTGGTTGAATAATAAATTCAACATTCTGACATCAAAAGTTTTTAAAGTTCTGCACAGTTTTCAAATCAAATTCCCCCATGCCTCTCTTTTGCTACTGTCAATCAAGGATTTTTGGAAGGCTAATTTAATCATTCTTTTTGTCATGGAGGAAAAAGGCTTCTGAAGTTACAGGTTCCAATCCCAATTTTGGTCACAAGTTTGAATCCCACTTCAGAGCAATTTGGCAACAGGTTCGAAATCCACTTGCTGCAAATATGGCAGAGGCTTTGCATCTCACTTCTGGCAAGTTTGGCTGTAGGCATGAATACTGGTTTGGGCAAAATTTGGCTGCTGGTTCAAATCCCACCCTAGATGTTTCTTTGAATTTTACAACATATCAATGATAAAGTAACAATTTCATCATAAAACAGAGACAGTTTCAGTATTGTGTGAATATCCTGTTTTTCACTGCATGGTTTTTAATTGCATGGTTGTTAAGAGAAAATGCTGCTGTTTTGTTCTTGGGATGACACAAAGTAGGAATGTAAACCTACATTCAGCGAAGACCAAGGAAGGATTCTAACCAGGGCACAGAGACTGACAAACCTAAGTTACAACCAACGTGAATTCTAAAGAACACACAGGGAAGGGGTGATATGGCTCCCAACACAAAATCACCTTGTCTTCAGCAGCTGTCTTGGCAGCCGGTGGGACTTGAACGGTCTCCTTGTCAGCAAAGAGTGTGTCCTCACCGTCCAAATCGTCAAACAAAGGGTCCTTTTCCTTGGTGGGGGCAGGTTTGCTGCTGGAAGGGGCAAAAATATGATACCACGGATGTAACCATTACAGAGCATAGAGGAGGGGTAGAATCTGCCCCAAGACATTTTTTTCGGATATCCCCTGAACAGAACTTTGACTGCAAATGTACCACATGTCAAGTGTTCAACACAGGCTCCCTTGAAACCTTTACATTGTTCGCTAACTGCAAAATGGAAAACTGTTAAGTTGTGAGTGTTAGTGTAAAACACCCATGACCACAATTAGGAAAGACTTTGTCTGATTGGGCTAGAAATTTGCAAATGTTCAAACGTGGATGTCTCTACATTTACACCAAGTTTCATTAAGATCCATCATTGACACAGTTGGCACTAGAGAGGAACAAGGAAGGCCAATTATCAAGAGTGCTACTGAACAGAGCTTGCTGGCCACTGTACAAGATGCAGAAGGAGTTCCAGCTTGTCAGCTGGTAGGAGAGCCAAAGTACGGTCACTGTAAAAGAGAACACCCCAATGGAATATGCAAGGGGCAGGGGAGGTGCTTCCCTTTGGGGAAAAAAAGAAAAGTAAAAAAAAAGAGGAAAAAAGGAGAAAGAAATGAAAAACAGAGAAGAAAGGGGATGGAAATCACTAATATGCTTAAAAAAAACCTTTAAAATTTACCCTCTCCCACTGTTAATGGTTTATCAGTTAACAGGTGATGAGTGGCTCTCTGAAAATTTTCTACCAGGCAAAAATCTCCCCTCCCCCCCTCCCCGGAAAAATCCTGGCATTGCCCATGGACACCCAACCCCAAATTCTGTTGACAAAGACATCAGAGCAGAAGGTGCTGATAGAACTGGATCATCACCGGAGGACTGAGCAGCCTGGGTAGGCCTATACAATGCTAACTGTTGGCTGAGGCTGTCACAGAAGGAGCAGCAACATTAACTGTTGTCTTGTTCATCACAAGCCCCTGCTAGTTTATCACAAGCCATTAAGTATCAAAGCCAAGTCACAATATATTGAAGAAGTTTACAGTGAAAAAGTATTCGTTTGTTACTGTTCAACCCTTATATTTATAACTGATTTTTATGACAGGGCTCGTAGCAAGTCTTTGGATGGACTTGGACTAGACTGCAACACTGGCAGTAACTGATTGCACCAATATCGGGACTGAGTTCAATGGATTACCTCTTGGCTTGCTCAGCAAACAGGTTCCCTTCCTCCTCGTCAAACATACCACCGGGTTTCTGTGGCGTCGGCTTGGGCTCCTTCTTCTTGGCCACTGGAGGAGGGGTGGTCTTCTCTTCTTCCACCGCCTCCTTCTCCTCCTCATGGTCTCCTGAAGCTCGCTTGGCGGCCAGAGGATCCAAGGTGCCAAACATGGACACAGCACCGGCTGGAAGCTGTAACATAAAATGATATCAAGCACTAAGCTTTCCCGTGCAATAAACCCAATCGCAAGCTGTCTACAACTGCAAACGTGCAGGAAAGTAAAAATGCAGGAAAGGATCATGGATTTTCATTTTTTTGGTACATGTAGATTTCTCAGAAATTGCTTAGAAGCTCCAAGGATTGGCTCCGGGGGAATCCAGTCATGTGACACTAAAGTCTAAAAGCACTGCTTATTTAAAATGCCCGTCACTTGCATCGGAATGGATCTGACCAACTGGTGTTGGAGAATAATGAAATGCCAATGACCTTCTTCTTGGAGTCAGTCCTCTGCCTGGGAGCCTCAGCAGGGGCAGGTTTCTGGGCGGCACTCCCTCCAAACAGCTCCCCATCCTCCTCATCGCCAAAGAGATCCACTGTCTTCTTGGCTGCTTCTACAAATGGATGAATTATCATATACCTATGATAAATGCAACGCTGTTGTGTGTTTAACCTTTTCTTAATATGAATGGTCTCAGAGCTCTACAATTATCAGCATGTCCATCGGGACAGATCATTTACAGGTTAATGTACGGAAGCTGTACTCATTTACATACCTACATGCATATATAGTAAAGAGATTTCTCCAAGGTCACAAATTCTTACCAACGGCTGAAATTGAGCCCAAGACCCTTTGAGAGTCACAAACCGGAACAACTTGGCCGCGTGTCCCAATTTAATCTTAAAAATGAAATATTTCTAACTGAAATAAAGATTTAGGGGCTTGATCAGCAACGGTTGGGTGGGGAGCACTCGACTCTTGCAGTCTGAGAACAAACAATGTCGCTCATCACATTTACAGATAATCCGACGAAAGAAATAGCTATCAATCCGTGTACACAATGACTGCCAAATCACAGGGCTAGAACAATGGTGAAGGCACTGTGCAGCCTGCTATTCATAACAGCTGTCATAGGAGGATTGGGTTGTGATCTCATCAGGTCATGCCTGGATTTCCTACATCTCATCAACATTTACACACAGTGGTGAACACAACATGCTACTTCATGATCAGAGCATTCCCAACATCAGCATATACGCATTTCACCACTTGGTGACAGTAGTGGTGATCTGTTGCTTCTACACCAAATTGAATTTTCTTTGCCAACACGTTTTCCCCGAGATGAAGGTTAATTTTTGTATGCGCCTAAAACATTCCCCTGAGAAAGCTCATCACTCAACAGTCAAGTGTTGCCTCTGAAAACGCATCCCTTCTGTTTAAAAACAGAAACAAACTGTTGCCTGTCATTCCCTGGTACCTTTCTTGGCAGGTTTGCTGGCTGATGGTTCGGCAAACAGACCGTCGTCATCGTCTTCGTCATCAAACAATCCCCCGCCACCTCCTCCTGCTTCCTTGGGGGCTTTCTTCTCACCTTTCTGCTGCTGCTTCTTCTTCCTGGATGACTCCTGATGACAGAGACAAAAAAGAGAGAAATGAAACTGACAGATGGAAGATCCTCTTTCAATTGATATGCTGACACTATAACATCACCTGGAAGGTATATATATTTAAGGTTTAGTAGCACATTTGCAGATGCCCATAAAGAAACTTACAAATTTATTGCTGAAAAGCTTGTGACGTAAGTTTTTCAAGCAAGCTGTCATTTTGAAGAATAAAAGAAGGCCATTTCCAACGGTGTGTCTAAAGATGCATTTTTGGAAACAGATGTAAGTACTTTGAGTTAAGTTGGCAAAGCACACACAAGTTTTGACCCGATGCATGCGTAGCATACAGTGGCTATAATTTGTCCAATCAGTGCACAAAATCTTGTAGTGGCTATCAACTGAATTAGAGCATGTTCCAGATCCAGACTCGGTAACTTTACCATAGATTTGAAATCAAGATCCTAGCGTATTGTTTTTCTTGGAATATTCAACATTCACTGAGCTCCAACTTCACTGTGAAGCACCGGGGGGAGGGAGGGAGGCGTGGCCTCCATTGCCCCAACCTTCACTGACGTGCACAAACAAAAATTATCACATGCACTGTATAAAATAAGAGAAATGATCAAATGCTGATGCAGGACAGTGAAAGATTAAAACTGGTCAGGCAGCAAGAAAACAGGCAGATTAATAATGGGGCAACTGATGGATACCATGTGAAGATCCCCGATTGCCACACATTATTCAGACGAAACAGTCAAATCCCCGAGCAGTCAACTTGAACTGCAGAACCAGTTCTCTCGATACATGCATCCTTCTGCCAATGGCAATGAAAGCCCTTGCGGGCCTCAGCCAACACACAGGGATGGGGAGTGGAGGCCTGTGACTCACATTACGCTGTGTGAGTTGTCATTCCGTGCAATAAATGTCAAGGTTACGCTTGCCATGACAAGAAGCGCGCGAGTGGTTCACGGAGCATGCTGCAACGGCATGATTTGCTGGATGAGATAAAACAAGTCCTTTTGTCGTGGCAATGCATAGTATCCTACTGTGAACTGCTTCAAAATTCAGTACTTCCTCCCAACACTAATCCTTCCTAGGTGGGAAATACGAGAGCAGATGTACACATGTACATGTACGTGCTGGTTACCATTCCCACTGATAAAAAAATGATACATGTATGGAACAATGCAGTGACATTAAATGAAACGCTTATCAATTTCAAGTGAAGGAAAGAAACTGTAGCAAACTTGGGCTAGATGCTGGCAGAAGTGTGCATGTACGTACATGTATGCACACAAAGGTCAAGTACATGTACATGTACACATACATGTACATGTACGTAGGTCATGGGTGAAGTTAAAAATAAATATCCACTGAAGTCAATTGTAAACAAAATACAATCTACTCTATGATCTGTTTTTGTCGTCTGGGGAGGCAACAAATAAAGGTCATTAAACGTCATGATTATACCCATGAAAGCTGAAGATTACAATACATGTACACACTGTACATGTATGGTACCGGTATCTCCTATCCTAACATGCCTAATGAAGTTAGTCATGTACATGTAGCATGCACACATGCAATTCATAGGGAAAGAAATATGAGCCCAACTTTATGTTGAAAGTCTTCCCATTTGCAATAAAAAATAAATAAATAAATACACTTATTTTCCTTATGAATGTGATTTACATGTACATGTAAGTCTTCCTGTTTCTACAACATTTTAAACTTGTTACTTGTTTAACTTTCAACTCTACGGTAGCTCTCCTGAAAATAATGATACAGGAGAAACTGCCAATCTCTAAAGAGACAAGATGTATTTCTTTTTTCCAATGAGACAGTTGAAGAGTCTCACTGATTTTATACAAAAAGGGAAAGCCTCAGACATGGTTTCATGTTGCACAAACTATCACAGGCAAGAAAAGAAAAGTTCTGGTAACAAGGCATACAGGCTACATGTAGCAACTCGTGCATAGCTGTGTGCAATGCAAGGGGTCTCAGACGATGCATCGTACTGAAAGGACTCACCATGCTGCTACGCCTCTCCTTGGCAGCAGAGGTTGCCCTCATGAAAAGGGTTTTCTACATTGGTGAGGCACACAGGGCACATAATATGTACATGAGATTCTGACAGTGAGGCATTGAGCTGGTGCGTCAGTGTACAAGTACATGTACATGTACGTGTACATGTATGTATGTTGCATGCATCATCAAAACCAAATGAAAGTTAATGCATGAAATGCTTGGTATCTCTTCGGGGCCTGTTATAATTCTTTTTAAAAAATCGCAAAACTAAATCACATCGCAGCATGTTTTCAAATGTGTCGTGAAAATGATGTTTTCATGTTAACATTTATACAAAATGTCAATGAAAAAATTTGGAAAAAGTTTGAGTGCATGGCTCATGTTCTACATTCTACAGCGCCTGTCCACGACGGAACGGAAAATTTATAGCGCGGCAGTACAGCATGCATTGCTGATCTATTTATGATGCATCCGGATCTGTTGTTTAGACCTAGGTCTAGGTCTTCGCTCTACGCGGAGACGCTGAGAAAATAGACCTAGGTGAAGCTCTACAAGCCACTTTCGGAGACGGCCTACACGTGGCGTGAGTCATCAGTAGTGCATTGTCATTAGTGAAGGCGCGCACATACTCAGGACACACACAATTCACGAACTTGCCACTCGCTCTGCACAGCCTGTATTCCTCCTGTGTGCGCCATGTGTCCAGGTAAGCCTTGACTGAAGGCTAATACTGTAATACAGTCCAGTGCGCGTGTGCAGTACTGTATATAGAAAGCAAATTGATGCACGCGACTGACCTTGTTGTCAAATGCGCGAGTTTTAGTGAATTGTCATCATTTGCAGAATGCGTGAGATTTTGAGTTTGATGCGTGTGAACATGGGATTTGGTCAAAATGCGTGTATCACACACCTAATGCATGAGTTGGAAGGTATGAGACGGGTTTTAGTACCGCAAGGGAGGTTCACACATGTCTGCGCACATAGCCTAAGATGCGTACGGGGTACAGTAAATGAGGTACAATGTATGAAAAGGGTGTTTCCTATGGGTAGTGGGGTACATGTACATATTCAACATAAATGTATCCAACATAAATGCCACTAATTACTATGCATGGATGTGTATTTGTGAACATTTACAGGTGACTCATGAAAGTGTATAGAGTACTGAAGCGTGACATCATTTGGAACCAAGAAGTGAAGTGCAAATGTATGGAGTACACAGGTGTTTTGGTTCATGCGACGGTTCTCACGCTAATGCCTTTTCCACAAATACCATGCGTGGGACCACTCTGGTACTTAATAAACTGTGAAGTTTGAAGAAGTTCTCGGTGAGGAACAAGGATGTGGTATTTACCAGCATAGGTCGTGAGCCAATCCCACAGGGCATACGTTTGTTCATGAATGTATTAAAGTCGGGTACCGTACATGTCCAGGTACTGTACATACATGTACATGAAAGAGATGCCAGATGTTGACAATACAAACAACTACTGCAAGAGGTTTACAATTTAATAGAAGGCATGCCAGGGCATTCTCCCAAATGTGAGGTACATGATATACATGTAATGCACTCAAAAGTGTTTTCCTGATACAACACATGTACATGTACATGAATGGGTGCACTTGCCAAATACTGTACATCTACAAGCACACACATACATATACATGTACTTCTTTTGTAGTTGTGGGGACAAACACTTGTCATTATACCAAGTTTGTGAGGACCAACATAGAATTGTTCCACAACTCGGTCCCAATTTGCCATACAAAAAGAAAAAAAGAAGTTGTCCCATGACGTGGTGGAGGCCTGCCCCGACACAAGTGTTGCTGTTAAGAAGTTGAGCTTCAAGGAAATGCAAGACCTGGATGTACATGCACTCAGCAAAAAAGAGCCTGTACTTCTGTCAAGATTAGAGATGAAGAAATAAGCCACTACATGTACGCAATCTTCAATATCCTACATAAAGATTGCCAAAGATGCAATCGCTCCGTGTTATGACTCACTTGGGAAAACAACATCCTGTCAAAAGTTGAACCAGATCTGATCTGGACAATCTGTGGTCTGGGTACATTATACATGGACACGAAAATACAGCATGCATCGACATTGTGCATAAAGCAAATTGAAAAATCAAAATCATGTTTGTCACCAATGCCCTTTCGCACAGTGAGAGAACTTTGTTGAATTTCTGGTACGACCACTTTCCAATGCTACAATTCTGACTTAGGTGTTAGGTGTTTTACACAGAGCATTATATTGTGCAAAGGCTTGACCTTGCATTTCGAAACCAGGAAGGAAAGATACTGTGTTGTGTGGAAACTAAAACAAAATTCTCAAAGAAAAAGCTGAAAACTTCAAAAATAGATATTTTGCTAACTACTAAAATATTGGGGTGGGGCTGAAATCCTGTAACATTTAATTCATTTATGTCTCACTTCCTGGCAAATGACTTTTGGATGATTTGATGTGTCAATGCACAAATTGAAGGGGTTTAAGGAGATTTCTTTTAAAACAAAATTACCACTGTAATAAAAAAAATTAAAGCCTGTCACACAATGTCAAATATTTGAACAATGTTCCCGGAAATGGGAAATGAAGGTGGCTTTAAAAACTAAGTGAAAGGAAAGGTCATCTCTGCACTCACCCCGGCCTCATTTGATTTTGGTGAGCTGCCAAATAAATCATCCTCAGTGGATGGGTCACCAAACAGTGGCACAGCACCAGCGGGTACTTTGTTGTGGCTCTCTGTACTTGTCTCCACCTCTTCAGCTGTTCACAGACATGATAATAAAGGGGAAAAAAATCAATCAATCAATGAAAATCAATACAAAATGAATGAAAGTGTATAAATATGCACGATATAGTAAATATGCATAATATGGTAAAAAATATTGTTAAACCAAAAATGGTTTAAGTTGATTGCCCAAGTTCCAGAATGAAGTGAAACACATGACAAATTGAAACCACAACTAAATTCTGTGAATACACACTTTGCTGAAATATCTAACATCCAGCCACACATTTGTCTTAAATTAATACCAAAGGCATCATTAGCCATGTACATTGTGCGTGTACGATGTGCACTCCTGGAAGTCAGAGAGAAAAATCTTCCAAAAAAGGAATAGGTTCTGCAAAGGTACCAAGTGAATCAATCTTTCCAAAAACCAACGCGGTTGATCGGGCTAGCGTTTTTCCCTTATTTCCCTTTGCATGATACATGTACGACTGTGCACATTTCTCATCTATTTTGTCATAATGCAAATTCACTCTAGGTGACTCCTTAGCTGACATTTCCACCTAATAAAAGGGGCCCTGGAGGTCTGAGGGATGAAGTTCCCCGATGAGACTAAGAGAAAACTCTTCAAGAACAACTTCAAGAAATGAAAATCAAGGTGCACCAACAAAGCAGACTACGGCGGACAGCAACACAAAATCTTTCATCAAATTTGTGACAGTCAAGGTTGTGGTGAGCTGTGACTTGAGATTTTGTGAAGCACGTTCACAAAGTTGAATCTGAAACACACTGTGTGTACGGTTTCATGTAGCCGTTCAGTGATAGTAAATGGACCTCAAGCTAGACCAAGAGAGAGTATTTTTTTCTTTGCAACGGCAGCTCCTTTGGTCACAAAGAACTTCACTGGTTCACAAACATCTTGGAAATGTACATGTCACGATCGCACTGCGATCCAAATATTGAACATTCCCGACAAATATGGCTCTTTTCAACCCACGAGGAGGTGCTTCTGCTCGAGGTGGATACTGTGGCGTGTCCAGCTATGAACATAACTATTTTTTTTTCATTTTATTGCCATAATTTATGTAGGGCGTCCATCAACACATGACTTGACTTGTGTGTACTCGGGGGAAATATGTGCGTAAATGTGCATGCTGGGTAGGTATTGACCAATTCGAGATTGCTGCTTGTTCATGCAAGAAGCTAACTGGGGTCAACTGATGGCAGAGTTTCCAGTGTGAAATTACCAGTAATATCTTCATAAATGTGATCGTCTCTTTGGCTGGCGGACCGTGGCTTAGGGGCCTCATCAAACAAGCCTCCCTGAAAGAAATAACAAAAACAATCCCATACGATAAAAGTCAGCACATTCGAGGTCTGGACAAGATATGAAAAACAGGTGGACGAGGCAACGTCTGCAAAAGTAGAGACTGATTCAACAGCTTGTTTTGGATAAAATGGTACTTTTAAATGCAAGCCAGTTACACCTTGGTACAACTGTATATGTCCAACCAACAAGCAGCTAATACATGTAGCAAAGCAAAACTGATAGTGCTAGTACTTCTTGCTCGACTCCTCTGCCCTAATTTTGCAAAATGTCAGTTAAAAACAAGTTTTTATTTTGTTAACAAGCAGAAAGTCATTCCGTATGCAACAAAATGGTGGGAGTTTACATCTTGTGCCGTAAACACACCTCCTCATCTTCCTCATCATCTGCGAAAAGTCCTCCGCCTGAGCTGCTGAACAGGCCTCCCTTCTTACTGAAGGGCGAGTCTTCGTCTTCGGCAGCGGCTGGCTCGTCAAACATGTTATCCTCAGACACAGCTAGTATGGAGTGAAAAGAACACTTTACAAAGTCAGGGCTGTATCTTGAGTGTGCATTGCTAGTCCGCAGGTATACAAAGACTGATTTAGAGACCAGAATTATTAGAAGCAATTAATGCCACACTTGTGAGCAAGTTGCATGTGCATGCCAAATGTCTCTTTCAGTGATAGGGTGTCAAACCACTGAACAAAACATACAAAAGTGTTGAATTTAAGAATGTACTAGATATGTGGGTGAAAATGTTGGTTTACATGTAAATGAATTCGTTTTGCTTTGTTCTGCAGATGTACTTAATCATGTGTAACTGCAGTTTATGTGCTTTTTTTCCTCACTGTCTACTATTGAAGTTCTAATCCAGTCTTAATTAATTTATATTAATTCAATATTTATATTTGTGTAGTGTCGTACTGCGCACTCGAACACATTGTGGAATCTGCACATTACAATTGTATTAATACGATTATAATTATTATAACAGCTTTTCCACGGATGAATCCATGGATGCATGTGGACTGTTTTGTTCTAACAAAATTGGGTGACTGAGCTACATATGCTTTTCGAGCACGAGTCCGACTGTGATCAGCGTCCAATCAAAATTCGTTTTGCATGGCCACTTATGACATCATTGGCCTAATATGGAATATAAGGGCATGGCTATTGGAGATTGGTAAACAGACACTGTAATGCTACATCTGTAAATCTGAATATACAATAGCACAATAGGATGTACATGTAGTACGAATTTAGAATTGTTGTGCAATTCAAGTCAACTTTTCTTGCGTGCATTCCGGGCACTGTCAATGCCATGTTAAAGCTGAACATCTGAACTGACCAGTCTGGTTTGGTTCGGTTCGAAAGTGCCATGTTCGATTATTTTTGGTTCGGTTCGGCTGCAGCACTAGAAAAGAATAAACTGTGCACTGCCATAATACAAGACCTTCCTTCATTCAGACAAAAGGCCTAGGGCAGGGGTGTGGTCATGACCCCAGTCTCAAGATCTGAGGGGCAGTCCTGCAGACAATGGGTTTTTGTCCAACCTGTTTACTTGTGGTGTTAGCTCTTGGGCAGTGCACACTTTGTTACTAATTGCTGCTTCCTACCCCAGAGTAAATGGTACAGGCGATTAGGGGTTAAAGGACATCAGTATTTTTCCTACAGGTCTACATCAGTGCACATGCTACAAGACATGTGCATCTGCCATGAATCCTCACCCTATAACTAACCCTTTTTTGTAAGCATTGGTGGAACTTGCCACCTGAGGATTTAATAAATTTAAGTTGTAGGAAGTAAAATATGGAATATGATTGTCTCTTAAAATTCATTTTTGATTACATACATGCACTTAATTGCTATTTTTAGTACCAGTTAAGTATACCTTATAATTCAGTAATTAGTCATTTATTGTAATGATTAAAAATAAAGAATTCTGTAGATTAGATTTGCATTTTTATTCTAGGGTTGACTGTTTTTAATGTAAACTTTATATAAATTACTTGTATGTTTGTGTTCATGTGTAATTCAGGCTATTGCTGTGAGATATGGATTAATAAACCTGAAATACTAAATCGTACTGAATGGGAGTGAATTGCACTGAACATTGCTAACTCAATGATATCCAACAGTAGCTTCTTTCTGTGGGATTTTGTTCATGCCAGCAGTGAACGAAAGGCCTTTTGTTCTGGTTGTTGGGTTCTGTGGGGTTCAGCAAGCTTCATACTTTTTCTGTTGTTGGATTCCATTATGTTCAACAGATTACCTACAGAAAACTTGAAGGGGGTTAGGGTTAATATAAAGTATTGTTCAGGGAAAAACAACGGAATTCTTTAAGTTACAGGGTAAGACTCATGTATCAAAGTTTACATGTTTTAAAAGAACATCTCTTATCTATATAAAACTAAATCCTGGTTTCCATATGGTTGTTTGTAATGCAGACGGTCTGCAAGACATCAAGACATATACAGTCGTGGAAAAGACGTTGTATGACGTCATTCTTCCCAAAAAATTTAACAAAATGGTGCCCGGAACTCGGAAATTCTTAGCAAAAAATGCCTTTTCAGGTGGCAATGTTGGCTCTTAAAGCCAAACTGATACTGCACTTTGATGTAATTTGTTAATAGCAGGCCTCGAATTTCACGATGGCCAAGGACGTTGGTGCCCTCGCATTTGGCCGTGGTGCCTCCGAAAAGTGATCGTGTTGCACCGCCTAGATAGCAGTGCCCTTTTTTCTCTTGGCCGTAGTGCCCTGCATGTGCATATCGACTGCCCCTGTTCAGCGAGGTATGTGGAAGGCAGCATGGAAAGTGGCAAACGCATTGTTCCTTGATTGCTCACATTCGACCAGAACACCGTGCCGCACCATCCAAACACATGGCATACACGCATAAAGCAGGGCGTGCGTGCACGGTGTGTATGTGGGAATATCGTACACTCAGCCCACCGCGCACTGGCGGCCCGGCCTGCTCCATGCACGCTGCACGATCGCAAGCAGAGCACAGCACAGGTGACACCCGCCGGCCTATCCAGCGACTTAACATAACAACGTATGCCCAAGCCAAGTATTTTAATGTACCATGCAATAATGTCAGTCTAGAACAAGTGCTCATCAAAGTGTACGCATTATCGGTATATTGAGAGCTCCACGTTTTTCGTGCACACAGGACAACTGTATGGTCGGGGCAGTATTTTGACTAACACTGCAATATAGTGTTTGCAGTTTAGTGCTACGCGTCGCGCGCGATCCGAACTGTACATACATGACTTCGGTACGGTCGATCGGAACTACCCGGATTAAATCTCACGTATGTTGTGTGCAAAATCACTGGCCTGGCCAGTTTTTGTGGTACGCAAAATGCCGAGGAAAGAACGGCTGCAGTCAGAACAGGCCGAAGCCTTTCAACACTTGGCTGCTGGTTCAGCACTTATCATGGACATGTTCAGGTATAATGCGTATCCTACTTTTTCTTACACCTGAATCATTTTCATGCGATATAAAAGGAAAATTGGGATGGCATTAATGCCGATAACTTTGGTACGCTGATGGCATTAATGCCCTCACGTTTGACATTACTGCCCTCACATTTGGCATTACAGCCCTTTATTTCAGCCAGTCCACCAATGCCAAATGGCAGTGCCCTGAAAAAAAAAGAAATTCGAGGCCTGTAATGGTCAGCTATTTTGTTGACGACTGGGGCTTCATGTGCAAGTAATAAGGAGAAAATGGACAACATGAGTGGTACTAAGCGAGAGAAACATCGTTGTACGCCCCTCATGCCGGCGTGCGTGTTTGCATAGGCCTACTCAGCGACTCAACTTTGTCAATCCGTCTGGGGCTGGTTTGCATTATCGGCGACCCTTTCGTTTGAAATATTTCCATTTGTCTGCTTTGTGTCTTGATTATGTTGCTCTCTGCGTTTCTTACGTTGATATGGAAACCAGGCTTAAAGCAACAAAAATTATGGAAAGCTGCATCTACTTCAAAAAAGAGATGGAAAGGTCTAAAATGTGACCTGTCAAGACAAAATGAGAGTAAAGTCGCTTCCCACTCTTTTCTATTTTGAGTGTTCAAAGTTATATTGAAGTGGAGGTCAATTTGGGGGTTTTGGTAATATTTGGAGAGAGTAACCCGTATCCTATTTAATTCCAAGCATTTCCCAGATTTGCATATTTAAAAATGTCATTTTCTCAACAGATGATAGCATTATTTGTGCCTGGTCAGACATGTTGAAACAATGTTGGGAACAAGGACGCAAAGCTGCCAGAATAATGTCACATAGTCACCTTGCACTTTTACCCACAGTGTTCTATGTGCATGCCATTGAAAAGCTCTCTTTATGCTGAATTCCAAAATACCAATATCTCAGTTTTTGAATATTCCAACTTTCAGCTCATTTTGTGGTAACAGGTCACAAATGCCTAAAGGATCACAGGACATTTGAAAATCATGACTCACCACTTGTCTTGGAGGCTGACCTCCGTTTGCCGGACTTATCTTTAGCTGTCCCTTTCTTCCGCTTTTTGCCCTTGCTGGAGGTAGACGTGCCACTGACCTCCGAGATACTGCGGTCACGCTTGGTCTCTGCATCAAAGAGGGTAAAGAAATGGGTGGTTAGGCTGCCCGTGTTGAACTCCAGCCGCCGGTGGATGCTTCGCAGGGGCACGCCCCCACTGCATGTGTGGCAGGAGGCCCCGTCTGTGCGTATGTGAGTGCTGCCACGCTGGCAGAGCCGGCAGGAGTCGCGAGCACAGTCGCTGTGGATCTCGTCGCGGGCCTTTCTGGGCATAGTCTCCTCGGGCTCTGCGATGGTCAGGCAGAAATGGCCGTTGCGCGCTGTCACCGTGACGCTGTAATCCCCGACCGGGATCTGTTCCATGCAAAGTTTGGCACGGAATTCCTGTCTGTCCTAGGAACTGAAGTGTGGTCAGCAAAGGTGAGGGATTCTCTCAGGGAATCCATCAGATGCTTTTCCAAAATGGAAGCACGGGTGATGATCCCATCTCAACCTTTCATAAAGCTTTTGCTGTCAGATTAAAAAATATAGGCCAACCTTCATCAAGAATACCCCTGGATTCCTTGTTCAAAAGTTATGAAAACAGCCCTTAGGGTGCATATGCAGGTACACGGACATGTAACTCGAATTTTTTGTGAGTATGAATTTCAACAAATTTTGAGTATTTTAGTAAGGTAATAGTACTAAATACTCTAGTACATCAGCAACTTCTTCTTGAGACATTAAGGCTGAAGTCCTTCCTGAAGTCGTTGGTGGCTTTTTAAATTGTATATCCACATACAGAATTCATAAGGTTTGTACTTGTGATCCAATCTACGACTGAGCAAGTAGCGTCAAGACTTTTACACATGCACATCCAGTAATTGCATACATGTACGTCTACAACATATTTCCAAGAGCATTCTGGCAGATTGTACAGATCAGCAGAGTTCAACCACAGCAGTAATGTCAATCCTGCCTAAGTCTCTCAACCACAGGTACCTGGTATATGTACCAACAAACTGCAGCAGATTCCATCACAATTCACAGTATAATTCCAATTTTCCTTTGCAAAAAAAAGCAGTGCTGCCGATAGTACTGTTTCCAATTGCTCCAGCCCCTTTGTGAAAGCAACCAATGCCAAAAAAAAGGCTAGAAACTTGTAGTGGAGGAAGCGCGAACAGAAATCTATTCTAGGAGAATGATACTGAAAACTCTTCAGATAGGGGTAGACTTCTTCAGCAAAAGTGGCAGATTTTTCCTCTGCCATGGAATTAACTTATAATATTTAGCCAATTAAACTGTTTGAAAGGTGGTCCAGACATTTTCACCTATGACCCTTTGTGATTGATTCACATTTACAAACTGATAGCGGCCATCTTTATTTAGCCTCCAAGAACATTGATTTCAGCTAAACTGAGCAACTGTGCCACACCTTGGAATGGAATGGAATGGTCCAACTTCAGCTCTCTCCAAAGGAAGTGCACTAATATCACAGTCTGAAGTCATATCCACAAATTTGGGGAAGATAAGAAACGTGTGTATTACGAGTCACTGCATGAGGTCCAGGGCCCTACAGAAGATACATGGTCTTTCTCTATCGTGTTTCTGGTATGAATGATTGGTCAAAGGATTCGGTGAACGGATCCATGAATTTGAGAGCTGCAAAAAGGGCGGAAGGGGGAAGGGGTTGCAATCTATTCAGGAGAGAAAATAGGGGTGTGGGAAGGTAGTGACTCCATATGGCAAAGCGAGATGGTATTGTGTGATCAGTCACTGGCAAGAACAAGTGTATGGGGAAACTCTACTTTAGTTTGTCTCCACATACATGTACATGTACCGGTATATCACAGACTGTAAAAGATTAATTTTCATCAGAATGGGCATAAATCCGCGGGCACAGAAAACACGACAGCAATGGCGCTCAAGTGCCTATCATCTCTCTTAACAGCTGAGTTGGTACTAGTGTACACACTCCATATATGTACATGTACGACTAATTTAGGCAGGTTGAATTATAACACATCAGGGGTAGAATGACACACAATTATACATGTACCCATGGTAACCTTGTCTAAGTTTTTGGCACAAGATTCTCAAAGCAACAAAAAATGTTGGCAGAAATAAAAACCAACCCTTCTGATCTATTGAAATTACTTGATAGTTTGCACTGTCTGAACCACATAGCTATTTCTTCAAGCTGAGAAGTGTCCCGCATCTATCAAAAATCAACCCTGTGCAGAAAGCAATTGGCGCATTCTTCACACTGGGACAAAACTGGGCTAACTAGCCTGGTTAGTATTTTATCCCATGAGAACATGGTAGAAAATTGAGCTCCGGGTTCACCCCTTTGTCAGTAACTTTAACACTTTCTTAGGCAAACGGGGTCACTTTATGGGGAGGGGGGACGACATCCCCTGGGATAGCACGACCCAGCTTCAACTTAAAGATGGAGGGACTGAGTTGCCACTGGTGCTACGCTGGCTTGCATGGATCGTCCCTCCCTTCCCGTAGCTACATCCTAGATTGTAATCATGTCCAGGTGGAACGGATATTGGACAAAAATGGAACAGCTGAAGGCAAGATGCATGTGGGCAGTGTGTTCCTCTGAAATGGTGACAGACGGTATCTTGCTGTGCAAACTTGCTTGGACAGACAAGTGCAGTACATGTACAAGTTTGTGTGCATGTTGGAGTGCATGTAAAATGCCAACTATGGTATGGAATTACATGTTCTGTTGTAACTTGTTTGAGAATGAGAATGTGCTGTATGTACATGCACATGTAGGTGGGCCAAACCACCATGTGACCACTGCACTGATCTCAGCTATACATGTACATGTAGGTGGCTGCATTTTTCAAACACGCAGCTGCCAAAGTTACATCAGCTGTTTTTTCAGAACACGCTATGTGTATTTGTTTTAATTTACCGTGACGAGGACAGACCACGAAGGAAGCCAAGGGATGTGACCCTATCCTCAGTGGTTAGTGTATTGTCCCGGATGGTAACTGCCTGTGCTTTGTGTAAAGGAGAGTGTTGGAAACAAGATGAACGAAGCCCAATGCCTTCTCCTCTGTCGGTGGTACAGTAAAACATGACTCAATACATGCAACATAATGCATGCAAGTACCAAGTTGCCTCTTTAGTGGACCTGGTACATGTACATGTACTTACCATCGTCATCAGCCTTTGATTGGGGTGCTGTACCGATCCTTGCTGCCAGCTCGTCTGCCAATGCTCCACCCTGGCGTTTAAATCATCACATAAATACATTGAAGAAGTCAGGTGCACATACAATCATGCATACATGTATGTAAGTAGTTAAGGTCCATCACAAATCTCATGGACAAGTTAAGTAAAAAGACTAATTACAAGTCTCAGGGATTGAGCTGTGACATCCCCCCCCCAAAAAAAAATTTCACATACAGTATATGGTGGGTACTTGCTGGCAACTGAAAGGAGATCAAGTTAAGCCTCAACAAGCTCATGTACAATGTTGTACATGCACTTTGGATAAAATGCATACATACTGGTACACATAACATTTAAATTGGTTCCGTGTGCAGTCCACATGTTACCGATGAAAGGAATGACGATGAATAAGATTGGTTGTGCTTTTTGAAGGCTACGTGTATGAGTCAAAACACACTGACTTGTGCACGCAGGTACATGTAAGTGTACACTGACGAGAACATACATGTGGCATCCAAATGCTACAAAATGTACATCTACTGAGGTATAATTGCCTTGAGTACATGTACATGTAATTAGAAAAGGTCTTTTAGCAGCACATGATACATATGTGTTCAAGGCCAAAATCTATGGGGGAGTGTTGTAAAGATACTGAGTGCCCATTTTCATTTTTTGAGGTGCTTTTGAAAAGTTCCTGTTTACATGACCAATTCTGGGAATGAACGATACAGTGTAGAATTCCATCATCCAAATTATGTGCACGTGTACTTTTCCTAGCTTCAGAACTCTTTTCCTCTTTCTGAAAATGTGCCTCATTTTCTGTGAATCCCGACTTCCGATTTGTAAATGGAGCCAAACCAGTGGGCCGACATTACATGAGTTACATGTACATGTATACTGTATCCCTGCAGCAGCTTCCCTATAGGGATTCCCTGCAGAACCCCCAGGTTAGCCCCATGTGAGCAAAACCACTAATACCTGTATATGCACGCGTACATGAATGTATACAAATGGCAAGTCAAGCTATACCTACACCTACATGTACTGTATGACTCAATGGCCCGTGTCTGTGTGTAATTTTGCCAAATGGAAAAAAATTGCCTTCCTACAAGAGTAAAAATAACAGCCCCTGTCCAACCACAACTATTAAAGCACAAGTGGCTTGCCTTTAAAGTATACCTACCATATGACCCTAGTCTAAGAGAGAATAAAAGTTTGCAGGGAAGCTTTATAGAGGAAAGGAGAATAACCATTTCTCTCTGAATCCAATGCCATAACAACTTTAACAGGAACAAACAGGATAACACCTGATGACTGAGAAAAGTGACTCAGCCTGTTTTTTATTTTTGGCCAAAGGACAAAATCCTGAGGGCTCCGTGAGAAATCTGCTCGCTTTGACCAGTGTTGGCACCACAGCTGTTCCAGGACCAAACTCCTGAGAGAGCCATTTTAAACTTGTCTATCGAATCAGTTTTGAAAATTGTTCACTGTTGAGAGGGATGGTATTTGACTATTTGGGGATTCATGTGCATGTACATGTAGGCTCCAAGCGTGCTTTTCAATTGCTTCTACCCACATGTAAGGGCCTGTTTGTTTCCAGCAGATCTGGATTGCAATCAGTGATCTGCCGTTAATTCACTAACACCAGAGCCCATCTAATTGATAGAGCGAAACAACATTGGGATCACAGATCAAAATCTGTGTGAAATAAACAGGCCCTCATCTGGCACAAACATCAAAGTTTGTTTTATCATATTTGTAAAATTATTAATCAAAGTAAACTGACACAAATTCAACAGAAGTTCCATTAATTTACTCTTTCAGTGAATCTCTCAAGGTCCCAAAATGAAGAGTTAACTCACTTTCAATGTCAATATGGCTGACTTGTAAGGACTATTTGAGGTTCCCTTCAATGTTATGCAACAATGAACTATAAAGGTTTTTGTGTGACCCAACATGATGGGCAAATTGGCATTTCAGGAAGTGCTCCATGTCTGTGGAGGTGGGTACAAGCACATTGTACATTTTGAAATCTGTGTATCTATTGGTAATTTCATATACGCCAGAACGTTGAGAGACTTTGAAACATGCGCATTTCCATGCACATCTGTATACATGTAAATTGAAAGCTGACTGTCAAAAATCAAACAACTGAAAATCCTCAATCAACATAACAACAAGAAACGTTCTTGGGGGCTGCATTTGTATTCACTTGCCCAGGTCAGTATTTCTAGGTTGTCCAAATAAACAGTTTTTCTTTTCAACTTAATGCGATTAACTTGGTTGATCCAAAGGGTTTGGATATTATTGTTTTTGAAGGGAAAATGTGGGAAGAATATTTCATTTGCACATCTTTCCCACAAATGGAGGGCGTTGTTTATAATCAACCACACGAACCAACCAAAATAGAACACATATTCTTTTAAGCTTACTTACCAAAACAGAATGAATAAATTGAAGAATTTTCCCTCACCAGCCTCCCTCCCCCTCCAAAAAATCTCACAAGCTGTTTGAGGAAAATTCAAACCAACAACTTCCCACCAACGTTTATGTTCAAATTGTAACTGCTCAGGCACCGCTACTGTTGGGGTAAGCCTCAAATTCCAGGTACATGCACCATGAGATCTACCCCTTTAACAAAGGGTCAGGTGCGCCGCAAGTCCTCACCCTGGATTTGTGACAGTAATTCCAATGAGGTGACTCTGACCTCCGGTTTAATACATGTACATGTACCATCCCATGCAACTAGGAAATTTGGCTCTACGATTAATCCATCCTTATTTACATGTAGGTTCAATGGTCATCAACACACCTTTGGTTTTTCCTCTTCTTCATCTGATAACTTCTCTCCTTCAAAAAGATCATTCTCAGACTCCGACTGCGTCAACAAATGAACGAAACAATAATACCGAGTTAAACATATCATAATGCATCCATTTTTACTGGGATAACAGGGGCGGATCCAGGAATTTTTCCATGGGGGTTCGGGAGTCAGAGCAGAGATCTTTTTATTGTCTCATTTCTTGCCGACAAGCGGAAATAATAATGAAACATTACATGACATACATGTATTTACCATGACATGTTTACCATGGTATTGGTGCACTTACTCGACCCCCCACCCCCTTGGATCCGTGCCTGGGTAAAAAGTTGACAGAAATATCAGCTGCGGTCTGTGACTGAAAATATTGCAGAAATGCACATGTCTGTAAACTTCTACAAGAATCTGTAAACTAAATAAGCATATTTACATGTATATCAGTCCTTTATCTATTCAGTAGAATTTTCAGTATTCCTTTTGAAATGTTCCTGTAGCTCCTTTATTGATGTACTATGCAGATTTCGTTTCTTATTCAGGTCCTAGCACTTTTTATTCACTGCCAATTTTCCTGATTTAATAACCTGTCCTTCACACGGTTGCAAAACATGTCTAAAACCCTCTTCTTTATTCTGTTGAAGACCTGATCAGACAATACGGCATGGGCAAACACTTTGTCCTCCACTGGCATTTCAATGATGAGTTACGTCATCTACAGCAAATGTACAAATAGGGCACGTACATGTACCGTCAACTTTTTCATGATGTGCCACTTTGACCCCAAAATCATGATTTTTTGGTCAAATTTCTGGTTTTTGGCAAAACTAACCAGGCTTTGCAGTGCTTACAACTTGGTGTAATAATTTTTTTACCCAATCTACGGAAATCAGCCAAATCACGATGATTTTCCTGGGCAAATTTTACCTAAACCGCATTTTCACAAAGAGGTAAATTTACCTTCCATAGATAAAGCATTTGCAATAAAGGGCGAATTAATGGGCAGACATGTTTCACCGTATTCATGAAATGACAAATTTGACGCTGGAAACGTATAACAAATGTTACAATTTTAGCATCTACAGCAAAATAGCACATTTTCACAACTAGACAAAAGTCACATGAATTTTAGCATTTTCATGAAGAGGCAAATTTGTTTGTTTACTACAAAATAAACAATTTAATTGACCTCTACAAATGTTAATTGGCACTTCTGTGTCATTTAAGATCCCTTCTTTCATGCAGTAGCATTGGTTAAGTCAAAAGAATGCTAAGTAGTGAGAAAATAAGCATTTGAAAAAGAGACCAATTTCAAATGCAATTTTCTCGAAACCTAGGTTTTACTCTCTGGTGTGAAATTCACCTCTTTATGAAAATGGTGACGATACATGTAAATGTACACATGTCAAATGCAGGGCACGTGCTTTCACAGACAATGACTTTGACCTATAAGGTCACCACTGCAGAAAGCTGCTCCAGCAGGCTGACCAATCCGTGACGTGACATCTTCGAGGTGAAGCCAAATGGTGAATCTTCAGATACCAAACCCATTCCAAATACTTGTTTTTCCTGGCACAAACATGTACTGTGTCTTTTTTACATGCCAGAATTTTGTCTGCATCAGCTTGTTTGAATTTCAACCAAAAATGTGAACACATTCCAGAGGTTTCCGCGAAGTATGGGAAGACGATAAGTACTGCTCTTTCTGCCATGAACACTCGCTCTTAATCTTAAAAAGCATGAGTACTTGATCTGAGCACATATGTACTAGTACCTACCCTTTCTATCTGGGATGGTTTCTTCTTTGTTGCAACATCCGATTCAATCTCAGATTCTGTTTCGCTCTCGTCGGTGTACTGTAAACCGAAAAAGCCTGTTAGAAACATGTTGCTACCTGTGACAAACCGTTTCATGTTCCTTCGGTGCAGAGCTGAATTACTGAGCCTTTTTGTAGATTAATGAATACATCATGTACATGTATTTCTTGGTTGTTCAGCCAGTTCATCTCAAGTGAAAGATTAACAACCAACATTTGCAGAATGACAGAAAGTGGATGGAAATATATACAAACTTTCAAGTTGGAATAATTTTGCTTTCAAATCTAAAAGGTTTGAAAATAAGAAACCCTATGACTAATCATGAAAAGGTTTCAATGACCAGTTGTAGTGCATGTTTAAATGTACCATCTTAGTATAATATCACAGTGCAAATCAGTACAAGTGTGAAGAAGACTTTGTCTATACAGGAAGTTATAACGCGTGTTGTTGAAAAGTATTCTACTGTAGAACACACCTTGCGTTTATCAAGTGATGCACCAAAGTACATGTCAAAGTAAAAGGGGGAGGGTATGGAACATAACAACCATATCCCACTTCACATGCTTCTCCTCCACACATCCTGGTGCATATATACATGTAAATGTACACGGAGCGCTTTTGTAGTCAGTGGCAAAGGCTGTACTGTACCTTCCAACATTGCAAAATCCTCCCACACCATAAATGCACATTGTACAAGTGCTGTTTGACATGATTACGTACATGCACATGTAGAATGAAGTTAAATCCACCATAGTGACTCATACATGTATGTACCTGCACCATGTCAACATCTCTTGCCTAAAACAACTCCAGTTAAAAAACTTTGACCCAAGACCAATGAACATTTCCTGTGTAACCTTAAATATCATGTACATACAAGTACATGTATACACCCCTAGAATTTAGGACGTAGATGGCAGGTCCATGCAAGAGAGGAGCGAATCAATTAAAATGAGCAGTTGGGGACAGACAGGCCGTTAGTGCCTTTGCAACTGTAGATTCTCATTGGAGATGGCATTTTCCCACGACGCAGCTGTCCAGCGAAACACGCCAAGGGAATATGACGCACATTAACTTAAAAAAAAGCACCAGTTTCCTCCCCTTCCCCTCTCAGATTTGTTTGACAATTCTAATACAGGATGCAGTGCTCAACTGATGCCAAGGCAAGGGGCCTGTTTGGAACCACTGGGCCAAATCTCACAGAGGCTGTTAAAGCGGCCAGTGTTTTAAAAGAACTACATCTAAGCAGCAATGATAGGATACACTTGTGCGTTGAATAACAGATACGCATTGGAACACATAAAGCAGGCCTATGGTCCTAATGTAAGACCATTTACATGTACATGTACACATGAACTGCAAGCATTTCTGGGAGCAAAATACGTGTACCACAACTTTACAGTACAACGTAGGGGTTTTATCTTTAAGTACAGAATGTCGCCCGTTGTTAAGTCAAGTATCACAGTCAAATTACTTTTGTCTTAATACTGATTAGAATCTGTGACAAACACTAATGATCACTTTCACTCGTGGGTCATGAACTTTGTATACTACAATGTACACGTACATATGCTGATTTCAAGCTCATGCTTCTTTCTGTCAAGGTAATGGCATTGCTTACCTCTGATTCAGACTCTGATGTTGTCTTCTCTGAGCCACTCACAGATCCTTCCTCACTCATTTCTGAACACAGAATGAACAAATTTGTGACTGAATCCCACAAAATATAATTTAATAAGCACATTATTTCACTTATTCGTGTTGTACACGTGGAGAGGAAGGAAAAATCTACATGTACAGTAAGTACTTCATAGACACGTATCACTTGCTCCATTATCCTGCAAATACCAGTATTCACCGATTACTGATTTTCTTATTGCAAAATCTGTTCTGAAGCCTGCACTTTAAACATGTCATTCATGTCCTGTTGAGTGCAACGTGCATTCTCCACGCCATACATGTATTCATGTACATGTACAGGCATCAAATACTGGTCCCTGCCACACTGTATCACTGTCATGAATGATCCTTTAATGATCCTTCAGTAAGTCAATTGCACTAGTATTGAGACATGATTTAATATGAATCAACAATACAAACAACATTCTGTAATCCATGACATACGTATAGATGCATGCAGCAGCAGAGAAGTCAAAGAGTTGAGTCTGACACAAAATGCCTGCTGTCTCAAATGCATCAGGTCCTAATTTGAGTAAAACCCTACCGTTTCCAACCAACTCGAGACTCAGACAGGCAGCGGTAATGAGACGACGTGAAATTCCTCGAAAGGAGAAACTAAAATCAAACGTTGCACGTTACCTTCCTCCGTGATATCAGCCACCCCAACATTGTCATCCTGCATGAAGGCCGGACTACCAATGAGGAACGGCAGCGAGCGGTGAGCGTACAAGTCCTGCCAACAGCCGTACAACCAGACGGGAAAAGAAGGATGAGAAACGAAGAAAAAAATGAAACAAACTAAATAACAGGCGGTCTCAACTTGGCAGGGCTTCCAATAAGATTAGTGAGAGGGTGGATAAGACCGTTCATGGGCTAAACCGCTGACGGACTTGGCAAGCAGTGCTTCCTGGATATGCTCATGGCATGGGGTATACACTGTGGTCCTTTTTTAACAGTCTGAGGGCCTCGTCTATAAATAAACCCTCTTTGATTTGTCTTCACTTGAGCAGCACATGAGGCTGAAGGACAAGATGTGTGTCATCTGACAACAAAAGTTTCACACATGGGCACGTGCAAATTATTCTTGGCAAAAACAAATCTGTACTACAAGCACGTTTAAACAGTAGCATGGAAATTAACAAGTCATTAACCCTAACCCTCCTCAGTCCTCCAAAATCCTTTGGGCGGTTTTGGAGGATTGAGGGTGAATGGCAATAGTGCATGGCTGATGTCGAAGGATGCCATGAGCAAGGTCGTCGGTTAGACCTTGTGTTGTTCTTGCTCAGTCATGCATAAATTCAGCCCGATATTTCTCTTGAATCAACCACACTGCTCAAGAATGCCATTTGCACTGCCTCAACATAATGACAGGAATTGCTGGAACATTTTGAAGGAGTGAGGCAGTAGGCCTCCAAGTACATACATGTATAACATTTTCAAGAAATGTTGGAAGATTTTGGAGGAGTGAGAGAGAATCCAATTTTTTCACCACCCAAATTGGAGGATTCTGGAGGACTGAGGAGGGTCTCATGCAAAAAGGGCCTAGGGGGTTGGGTTAATGCTGCAAACCAAATACCTGTAGCAAACTGTCAGTCATTTCCAGATCTAGCACACAAGTACATGTACATATACAGTATGTAATAACAGTTATACACTGATCATGAAACAGATCACATGGGGAAACTGACTAGGTGCTTATGAATGATTATAAAGACGAACAAAGAAATCGACTGGAGCGGGATTTGAACCTGCGGCCTCTGGAACACCTTGCCAGTGCTCTACCAACTGAGCTACCAGTTTTTACACTGACATGAACATGTACAGGCTGACACGTATACACAAATGGATTTATGTGAGGAATTATACACGTAGTTATAAAAAGGGCACTGTGGTTAATTGATGTACACCTTGTGATTGGTATACATCTAAATGCATGGACACTAGCATGGAAAAAGAATTGCATTTATTAGGCATCCACATCAATTACATGTAGAATGATACTAATACTTTTGTATCACAAAATTATTAATAAGTATCCAAATATCAATACATCCACATCCAAATATCGATACATGTAGGGTACAGGTAATGAACATTCTTCAATTCATCAGTTTGCATCTGAACAAATTTTCTGAAACCTGAAGGTAGGGCCTACTAGTGTTCTGGTCTGTTGTCCATCCTGCCCCACCCGGTGCAAATTTTCGGTCACAAAAATTGGAGTTTACCCTGAGGCACTCCAGACGGAGGTGTGCACACTGCCTCAGGGTCCAACTGCCACCAAAACAGGAAAAGGAGTAAACCAACTAGGAAAAAAAGAAAAAGAAAAAAAAAGACCTTCCGGTTTGCTGGGGGTCGGTTCCGATCAAAGACCAGACAGAAAGGTCTTTCTTTCCCCTCTTCTCTAGAATTTGTTCATCCCTCTCCACAAATCCGTGTCAACAGGTTTTAGTGGCTCCCCAAGTTTCTCTAAAGATAACTGGGTGGATAATTAGAATGGACTTCAACTAGACAAGGATTAAACGATGGGGGTTCTTGAATGCTTCCTTGTTTAAAGGTCAGGCCTACACTTGCGGCAATTTACGGTGTGCTTGGATGTGTAACTACGATACAGTCTAAGTTAATGCAGGGAGTACAAGTTCATCCTCTACGGTATGTACATGTACATACAATGGTACCTGTCCTTCTACACTCACTGTACGAGCACGTACATGTATCTCTGATTAAGGTCTCATTTTACCACTTGCTCACCTATCCCGAGGACAGACTCGTACATGTTCGTGTACAGAGACTCGTTCTTCTGTTCAAACATGTTTTGTCTAGCCTTGATACTCAATAATAAGGATGATTATGGCAGGCTTACCTTTCCAGTATTAGCACTGTGTCTTTTTTGGCAGAGTTTATTTGCAATTCATCATCATTTTGTTCGTTTATGGTAGCCCCCAAAACCACAGTTTTTCAGCATGTTTACAAGTGATCAGTTTTCAAGTCACATTTTCTTTTAACCTCTTCGCGACGGATGACAGTAAGAGCCACCATAAAAATTGAGATTCTCAGCCCGCTTTACAGCTATAATTCTTGGCCCACACTCAAGCGAACACGGTGAAAGAAGGCAGACCCTGGCTCTTGTATATATGGTGATTGGCCTTTGTGTGTAGCCCAGAAATGAAAAGACCAAATTTGCATCATAAGCACCAGCTTCACAATAGTCCCCACTTTGAAAAGAGGCAATGGGAATGTGGAAGCGTGAGTAGAGCCGCATGCCACCAAACAATGAGCCTTTTCACTGTGTAATTCAAAGCGTGCAGAGCATGCAGGGCCACAATCCAAGAATTTGCGGTTTGGCAGGTGGCATTCATGGCCAAGCGAGGCTGGAATTCTTGGAGTCAGCTTTCAGAAAAAAGTTCCCGTCATCATGGGGTTAAATCTTGAAGAGTTCTTGTGGGTGTTTTATGTCTTTTGATTTAGTATTAATTTCATGTGTTTTCGATGTATTTCAATAAATGTGTATTATGCACTCGCTGCCGGGGATTCCAGATCCGGACACGTACATGTATGCTTTATATGTGTGGTCGGGGTCTCCGAACTCGGACAAAGGAAACAGGGCCTTGTAACAAAAGACCGTACTTGGAACAAAAGACCAGGCTGCAGGGAATTACCGACATTTTTTAAACTCTCAAAAGTGGAGATAATCCAGCCTTGTTTTGAAACAGTATACCACGGTTTGGGGCATTTAGAGCAAGCGGATTACCACTGGGGAGAAAAGCGCTCCACCACCGCAGCGATGAGCCACACAGCACCGCTGCATGCTAATCTGGCCCCAACTGAAAAGAGGTCAGCAGCACACTGATCCGGGTTCGTTACCAAAAGAAAGTTATATAACACCGCACAATCTGGGCTCTTTTTACAAGGCTGCAGGCCTAGCTGAAATACTCGGGCGTCAATAGATTTTGTCTGTCAGGCTACAGTCCTTCACGTGTTTTTAAGTGTCCAGTAAATGAAGATAGGAATCATTAAAGAATTTTGAAAACAGAAAAAGTGATAAATACCCCAGCATCAACAACATTGATAACTGCCCCGGCAGGAAGTGGTTAATTTGTTTATGAAAGCCATGTCAGTTTTATGTATTGTTTTACACTATAAAGTACGTTTAGATTTTACATACATGTAGGCTGAATATGCTTAACGTAATGAACAAAAGACGAAATATAAATTTATTCCTCCCTTTCCAGTGCTGCAGCAGAACAACCAAGCAACCGAACAACAGGGTGAGTGCCTCGACTGACCTTGGGTTCCAGAATGGGTTCCACCACGGCCCGGTAGGTGGGGTCCTCTTCCTCTGAGTCTGAGTTGCCGGCGTTGGCGTCCAGCTGCTCAAAGGCCGAGTCCAGCACGTTGATGCCCAGGTTGAGGGCCTTGATGACCCGCGGGATGACCTCCGCTTCTCGCTGCTCTCTTGTCTTGACCTTGTTTGTGGAAACAAGGAAGATGGGTCAGTGATAAGCGTAGAGTAAATACAGGGATGTCAGTGGGTTCTCAGTCCAGGGCTTGAAAATTTTGAGAGTGGGTTAAGTACTGTAGGCGTAAAAATACTGGAAAATACAGGAAAAATACACACACTTTTTTCCCCTCAAAACTTTGGTCATTTGACTAAGGAAATATCTCTGGTACCTGTTCTTCTCTCTTGTTGGTAGTTTCTGGTTTCTGGTCAGTCTCCTCAGAATCGTCATACACCCGCTGTAGAAAAAGTTCAACCGAAAAGCAAATTAAAATATTGGAATGTACAATGTACCAATACGCTTGCACTTAGTAGTTTCCTCTTGCCTAAAATGTCCTCATTTTTCCCACGCCAGCTGTTAATGTTATCACAAAATTTCATATCCAACCACACTTAAATGCAGTTTCTGTTAATTCTAACGGGACCCAATTAGAATGTTCCGCTTTAAGAAGGGTTACTACGCGTGCCTACTGTACCACACACCCTGTAAGAAATGACAACTGGCATGCGCAGAAAGGAAGATGTTCATTTGTGGTGGTCTTGCGTGACAATCGGGAAACTTCCAACACAGCCAATGAAGACACAGCATCCTCTGTTTGTTTTAAAGCCCAGCACAGGACGAATGCTTGCTGGAGGAGGTGCCCTAAAGGAATGGAATCTAGTCATGAAAGAGGAGTGGATCGAGGACTTAAGTTCAGGATGAGCAGTTGAATCAACCCCGACAGGACTAATAAAGCGAAACAGGAAATGAGGACTAATTGGCAGACTGTGAATTTTTTTTGTGTGTGGTCAAATTCAATTTGAATGCCAAGTCCGTACACCGTTACAGGGCACCCAGACGAAATGTGAAAACAAGGCACGATTCAAGAATGTTGGTTTCAGGACAACTTTCAAAACAATAGGGAGTACACACCCGAGGATTCTGTACACGTGTGACCCCCCCCCCCAACTTTAGAGATGGCTAGGTTGCCACTTAGATTTCTCTGCCACTGTGCTTTGGTAGAAGAAAAATGTAAATTTTTTATACATGTACATGTTCTTGTACATCTGGGGGTATAGCTGAGTGAGCTACATGTACATGTACTTGTGTTAACGCAAGTACTCTCCCAAAGCACACGAACGGCAGGAGTACGCCCCAAGGATCAGCGAGATCATGCAGGAGTATACTCCTGACCCAGGAGTTATGCACGCGCATCCTCACTCATGTTAACAGGAGTAACTGCGCGAACGCACCCCTGTAGTAAGGTCATGTACCTGTACCGAAGGTCTGCATGTACACAGCATACGGGCCTTTAGGGATGTGTTGGTCCATACTTTTATTCACACTTTATACCTATATGAACTAGTATGCAGCAATGGTCATATGATGACAGAGTCAGGTGTTTTGAGTTAATTGATGCTCAATAAGGAACAAGCCAAGGTCTCCGCTGGCCAGAAGCTCAAACTCTCATTAAATTACGTCCCATTAGAAAACTGAAGACAAATGAACAGATACTGTAGGCTCATGCACTTGCACTGCAGGACAAGGCAACAGTAAGCCCCTTCGGTTTCACCAGGGAGTATGGTTGTCTGTGGGAAGGAGGACCCTCAGGGGACCCCCTCCAGTTACTGGAATTAAAAACTAAAACAGGGAAAAACAGAGGGGAAAAATCAAAAGAAATACACAAAAAAAGAGATGGAAGGGGATAAAAATCAACATTTTGTTGGGGGAGGGGGACCCTTAAAATGACCCCCTTGCACTGTAAATGGTTTATCAGTTCACTGCCCGTCTCCCCAGAACTTCCTCGTTTAAAAAGTCCCCCCTGCCCCACCCCCAAAAATATCCTGGCGATGTCCTGAAGGTTAGGTATGAAAAATTTTGGCATGTGTCTTCTAGAGGGTCTGCCAGAGAGTGGATCATCACGGCTAATTATACATATTCCGGTACTCTGTACCATCAGGAATCGCATGCAGGCTGCTAATACAGCAATCAGCCATCTTGTTAGGAAAATTTATGTACACATCTTGTCAATGAACACCAACTGGGAGAGGTGATAAACAGAAGTGCAAAAAAGTTCAACAAGAGGATGTCTTTGGGGCAAGGATGGGCGTCACTGAGTGATTACTCAATTTAAGAGGCTGACTGGAAACTACAGAACTCGTCTGAAACTTTCAGTATGAGTAAGACTTTACAGAAATATTAAAAGTACTAAGAACAGAAAACTTCAAGTCGGTATCTTTCACTGGTGCTTTCAGATGCCTTTCACTTGTTGGTCATGTATACAATGTGTATCTATAAGCTGAAATCAGCTAAAAAGCTGAATTCTCACACCCCTGAAATTATCGGCTACCGGTATATCAGAAAACTTGTTTGTGACTTGCACAACAAATCATGGCGTAACCTACGCCATGATTTTAAGTGGCGCAAGTTCCCCCGAATAAAACGAAAATTAATGATTTGTCTAAACTTGTTGTGTTCGGTTAAGGCTCATCATTGCTGAATTTAACTTGTTTATACGAGGAATGCACAACTTTGTTTCAGAAGGTAACAAAGAACTTATATGGACTTCAATATTTCTGTCCTGTTCCAATGAAGAAAAGATGAAAACTTTTTCAAAATGGCTGGCAGTAGTAATTCAATGACTGTTTGATGACTGCTGTAATATTGCCAAGGAACAGCTGCGGTAGAAGCTGTACAAAGTCATCTTCGTCCAAGAAATTCAATACAATTAAAATGTTGTGCAGTAAAGGAACTCTCATAACATTGAACATTGTGCAGCTATGGCAGAAATTTGTGGCACAAGGCTTACGCATTGTTCAAAATTACGCCACGTTTCGTGAAACCAGCTGCTGGGAAAACTAATGCACAACATGAAAATTGTGCTCTGTCTGGTGTCACACTGTATTTTGTGTGGAAAATTTCCAAAAATGTCCATATGATGTTTTGGGCCACTGCACTACACGTACAGTACATGTTCTTCTCACGCGACTTGTGAGTGGCCCTCACGACAATGGAAGAATAGGTACATGTAAGCTCACAGAAGTGTACACATCTCAGCTACAAAATACTGGTACATGTAAGTTGAGGTTACAGCAAATGAATTCACAGGTCCGGATACAGGAAACAGGGATGAAAAATAACAAAGGAACATCTTTGTCACACTTCACTCGAGTAGCTTGTGGCATGACTGGAGGCTGGTAGGAGTGGCATTACCTCCGATCAACTGGTTCAGCCACAGCGGACTCAGCGTTACTTACATTTTCAATGAACTGTGTGTTGGCCAGCATGAGGAAGTCGTTGAAGACATTGTGTACTCGGGAGTCTGTGCACTTGGTCTCGTGCACCAGATTGTCCACCTTCTTCTCCAAGTCACTGGTCTTTGCCAGCATTTTGTGGGAGAACTCTTGCAGATACAGCAGCAGCTGTGAGAAAAATAAAAACACTGTGTACAAAACTACCTTACGGCCCATTTGCACAAATAAAGTGTGACACAAGCTCGAAGGGTCAACAATATTACATGCGGCAACATGGTTTCCTACATCAGTACATGGTATGGGCTGGGCTTGCTTACACGGACAGCGGATAAACCATGTGATAAGTTGATACACCACTGTGTTTGGAAATCTTAGAAAATGATTTTTGAAAGACGTAGTACTGAGAAAGCACATTCTGGCCAATCACCTGTCACACTGAGTATGATGTTACCGATTGACTGGCATGGTTGAGTGCTCCTTTGTGATCTTGCCTTTGATTTTCCCGTGTTTATTGTGGAAAGTCTTTAATTTTTCTTGAGTGTATATTATGTAAGATACATGTACTGCATGCCCCATACATGTATTACAATGTACATGTACACGTATATCAACGCCACTTGCTGTTCACTAAAGAAACCGGACATTGTTACTTTTACCCCATGTACAAGTACCCAGTACCGCGCGTGATGAACTTTTATGCAGGCATCTAAAATCCTATCTGACATTTCAGGTTTAATGTAAGGCAACCTCGGTAAAACAATTCCATGTGATGTGCTCTTGAGTTTGTGCCAGCTCTGAACATTTATAGCATTTCTGACATCAGTTGGAATTTTGTTCTTTCGGTTTCAAAGGGAACTGGTTAATTGAGATAAGCTTACAGCATGGAAGCAAGTAAATTAAATATAAAGGTACATGTACAAATGTACATGTATGAACATCCAAATGCACTAACGGTACATGTACAGAACATGTACAGTACATTTATTGGCAAGCTTTACTAGAGGACAAAACACAAAGGGTGTATGTCTCTGTCCTTGTTGGTTAGTCTTTTGTCCTCAGATAGTGGTATAGTAAAAGTAGAAATGTACACATACGATACTGCAAAACAGGACAGTGTAAAAGTATTATGTCCCCATCTGCATTACAACAGACTATAACTTTAAATATTTAAATGTAACACTTCAGCAAATTATGGCTACGTGTACATGTATACTGTCAATAAGTACTCGATCATATGGTAATTTTCACTAACAGACACACTAGAGTCTCCAAGGAGTGTACAGTACATGTATTTCCTGGCCAATGAGCTAAACTGAAAATGGCACTTCTTGCAGGTCTCCAGGCAATTAATCCGGAGATTCTGCAGCTGACAGGCAAGTTTCTTTAAAATCAATTTTCATTGGACTTGCCACTTAGACAAGATGAATCAGAGTTGGTTAGCTGATTTTGCCAAGGTACAATGTACATGTACATGCATGTACCGGTACATGTACAGTACCGTACTGAAGCATTTACAAGTACATGTACATGTATTAACTCATTAATACGTCAAATTATCAACAACCATTCATTTAAACACAACTGATACTTTCTTATCCACTTCAAGATACCATTAACTCTGTGGCTGTCTAAGTTAACCGACAAGTATTTGTGTTGATACCCAATGATGTGTGTCTGATAACCTTTTAACTGGAGGGTGTTGGACACCTTCTTCTAGCCAAGGGGAAAAGACACGAGACGGGGAAGGAACCAGAGTAGGCGAGGGCTACTACTCACGATGATTGAAATTTATTACCAACAGAGTGCAGACAACTTCAGAAAGGTTGGTTTGTAATTACAGCGGTCGGGGGCATCATATAAACAGGGTACCATACAGTGTACCGGTACTGACATCACCTTGGATGGAGTATATACATGTATGTAGGGTGGTCATGCACCGGCAGGCTGGAGGTTGTTAGATTATATTGTGCCAGGGATATGGGGAAATGCAGAATCTTTATCTAAGCAAAGTTGTCTTGAAATGTTGTGCAGTGCATGTATGAGTATGTTGTAATGTCACTGATAACACACTGTTCCTCCTTCGTGCTTACATGTACACTGTAGTATGCAATCTTACTGTGGCTTATTGGTGGTTATGGCACATGTACATGTATACCGGTACAGTTCATGTAGAGTGATTGATTCAAGGATTCAAATCTACAATCCTGGACAAATCTCGTTGGAACATGCCTCCCTCCTCACCCCCGTCAATGTTGTTTCTCATTGGGTAAGTTGGGCCGAATCTTGGTCCAATAAATGACCGCAACATAGAATGGGGGAGGGGGGATCTTTTGAACACGCTTCCCACAAGATGTTCCAACTATTTTGTCCAGGATTGTAGCTACATGTATGGCAAGCAACTCCACTCCCACTTGTCCCTCTCCATACTGGAGAACAAGTGGGCACCAAGCACTAGCTGTGGAGCAACCTGTAATGGACTGGCAATCCCAATCACAGGGAAGAGAAACTTCTAACCCAGCTGCCTTGTCATTCAGTGGAAGATGACTGGAGTTCCCAGACTGAATGTCTAGCCAATATCACAGGGTTGCTTATTACCCGTACACATGTACATGTACGTGCATGTACATGTACATGTACGTGCATGTACATGTACGTACCGGTAGCAGAAAAGCTGTGCTCACTGCATGTTCATTAGTCTATAGCAGAAAAACTTTGCCAACTTTTAAGCTGGCATTTTCACGTTTGCATGTGTACAGAGATGCATTATGTCATCATTTTAAGCAATTTCTTTTGAAGTCAGTGAGCTTTATTGTATGCTTTCTATTTACAGTGTCTAGAATGGACAGCGGTTCCGTCAGTTGAAAATCATACACTTAACACCGTATGAAATTGGACCCTGGTTTTGTCTTTGATGATACTGTGAAACATTCCCATGGTTAGCTTAATTTCTCAGGCTTTCTTTCACGGAAACTTACCCCAACTGGGGATTTCTAAGATTGTACATTCCAGGGCAGGGCACTTCAGGTATTTCATCATGAAACTGCTTGTTTGCACCCAGGTATACCAACTTACAAAGTTAAATACAGCAATCAACTCAAGTTGATGGCAACACAGTGCAGCTATACAACAAGTAGTCTTCTATGGAATCCACAGTTGTATTTTGTTGCAACAAGAGAAAACATGACAACTTTTCAACAGGAACAAGACTGTGTGAACTCACCCCAGCGTCTGAGGCCAATGACCAGTTGTTGCTGCTCTTGCGGATGTCCGGAATGGTCAGGGGCTTCTCCCATACCTGAGGCTCCTTCTCTGGAGGTGCTGGGGGCATTGTGTCCATGGAGCCATTGGTATCCCCTGCCCCAAAGGACGGCAGGGCAACAGCCTGCAAGAGCAAACGTGACACCAGTACCATTCAGTTAGTTTATAGTGTCATTCAGCAACCAGAATTAGAAGCCATTACTCCAGTAGCACAACACTCATGGACGAGTGAAATGCCTGCGTTGCATACATGTGCCTGTTTAACCAATAGGGTGTGGCGATTTGCCAAAAGCACGCTCACTTCATGCTTAAGAATGCACATACATGTAAGTGTGCGGTGCCACCATAGTTATGGCGTCTCCTCGGATTACTCTATACATGAAGATGCACGTACCGGTATCATTGACTCATTATTGATGAGGTAAAATCTTCAGCAGTGCTGATTCCTCAGAACTTGATGCAATGCCACTCCATGCCACATTATTTGCACCATTACATTGATGTTAACCCATTTTATGAAAGTTTGCACTACATACATTGTACATGTACTTGTAATGTGGACATGTACCGGTACGGTACCGTAGGACTTCACAAAAACTGTAATTGACCTTTCAAATTCATATTGGACGGCAGGAAATGCATTGAAACAGTACACTGTAAGAATGAATGATTTTATTTAGAACTACGGGTACATACATGTTATATTGTCCGTAAATACAAAAAATGTAAGGTTCAACACTGCTCAACTTATCAAGATTTATGTAAGAAATAGGGTTTTGTTTGTGGGGGTTTATAGGAAATACTGGTACAAGTACAAGTACTTGTTTGGTTGAGAGAATCTCAAGATTTGCTGTCTGGTTCCCATTAAGAAAAGACAAATACATGTATTTTCCAACATACTGTAGCAGGTGAGGGTCATCATGTGTTCAAGGACTACACGGTAAAACTGCAAAGGATTTGAAAATTGAGAACAACCACTCTGCTTTCATTAACAGTCAAGCTCTTAGGTGGATTTTTATGCCTACACTATACAATATAGGTCGAAAATACCAGCAAATGTGAAGTGAATGAAATCTGATAATTACACCTGTACATGCCCACTGTATGAAACACCTGTTGTGTTTGCAGTTCCATGTACATGTAACGTATATTAATGCTCAGCAAGACTGTAAATCTAATTAGTGCACTTTCCTAATCAAATTGTAGATTTTTTCACTTCACCTAACATGACTACATGTAACATTTCCATCATATTTAAGTGGGATCCGAAAAGAGTAATTTAAAGGATGTTTCAGGTAGGGCCTACACAATTCCTGATATTTTGGAGTAAGACAGAACACAGGTGTGCAAAAAGATTGTGGGTGTCCTTTGTGCAATCAAGGCAACACAAACATTTAGCCGCACAGGGACGTATGCACTTTCGTGACCGTGACCAGAAACATGTTTCTTATAGTTTGGTATTTTTGCAACTTGGTATGACTTTGTGACGTGCTGTTCCTGCCAAGCGAGACCAAAAGATTGGTGTTGGTTCATCACCACTTCGAAATGGTGAAAAATGAGCATGTATTCTGTTTCTTGTCATCTATATCAAATAAGTAAAGTTCCCAAATTTGTTGAAGGTATTACATGTAAGTGAACGAAAAAATAGGTACATGTACACGTCATGTGCTTTCTTTTTAGAATGTAAAAAGAGAGGGAAGGGTGATATAATGGATTGAAATGGCATTTGCAAAAGTGCCTGTGTCACTCTCCACCCGTTTCCACTGTTGCATTTTTGTGGGCCACCTCAAACGGGTTTAAGGTGGGGGTCATAACGCATGCCCTGGCAGGTACTGTATTTGTACATGTACTGTACATGTATGTTCCTCCTGCCACCATGTACCCAAACAACCGTTATCCTGTACCAGTTCATTCATGTCATTACTTCCGTATGTCTACAATGTGTCCCTACTTGGAAATATGTAGGCCTACATGTACATGTACATCATGTAATAATTTGTGATGTAAAGTCACAGAGGTGCCAAGGTGGATTCTTAGGTACTTGTACGTTGTATTCCATCAACCATTGTCAACACAGGTTATCATTGACAAAATTACAATGTAAACGGTATGTACATGTACATGTACTGTACATGTACATGTCAATCATGTGCCAATTCAAAAATATTGTCCAGTCTCAAGTCAAGTAACAGTCCTGACGTACAAGACAAACTCATTCCTTCGTAATGGTTTATTAAAAGCAACGCACGCACGTTCCTCTATGGGTACCAGTGCATGAATAATGTAAAACACAGCTTAAAACATACATGTACATGAGTGCATCTACTTATAGTATGGGCAATTCTTTCACTGTTAACGTTAAAACAAAATATCGGGTATTTCAGAATTTGATGTTAAATGTACATACTTTTACATTCTTACAAAGCCACTTGTGAATATAGACAAAAACACACGAGTGGATGTTTAAAAACACAAACAAATAACTACAACTGTACAATGTACAGGTACATGCAACAACCAGTCATGGAAACACACCTGTGGTAATTTCTGGCTGACACAGCAGATAGATTTACAAGTAACTATTTTCCAGCTGTTTTCATTTGGGTGGAAGTATGAAGTCTGCAAAGCTCATCTCATGAATTTCACTTATGTACTTCCATAACTTACATGTATGTACATTACATGTGTACTACATGTATGCAAACTCAAGAGAGTGAAAGTGAGAGCCTGCACTGCTGGGGAGGTTCAAGGTCTCATCAAACTAAGGGGTGGAAAAAAACACGACCTGCGCCAAATTTTGTGAACAACTCACCAAGTAATCACAAGTGCCAAGGTCCAAGTACCGAGCCATCCTTTTGCAAAATTCTACGGTCTCCAAAAAAATGTTACAAGACTTCTAATACTGATAACTTGAAAAAACATATATACAGGTATGTATCCAGGCCAAAATTGAAACTTTGTCCTTCGGCTGAGCTCAAACAACCCAGACAGGAGTCGCCATCCTGTAGACGACTCTATGACTGCTCTTGGCTTGACTTGTCTATACGACCTTACAAGATTTTTCTGTCTCTCCTCAAAGATACGTTAGCTGAGTCATGACTAATTGCTGAGGCTTGACCTGGTAAAAAACAACATCCTGTCATGAATCAAGACTGGATGTGTGTAGTACGGGCTAAAGTTACATGTAATGTACATACAGGCAAAATAAGCTTGTGGAGACACGGATAACGTGTCCATGATGCAGTCTGATTTGGTGACAAGAAAAGTGGAGTAAGCATTGTAAGTGGGAAAGAATGTTGCATCCCGATTTCACTTCAGCAACTGTGCACAAAGGCTACGGGGAACCAAGAAATTTTCAATGTTTATCCTAACAAAACTGACAATTTTTTTCTCACACCCAGGTTTATGTCTTTTCAGCATTTCTGCAATGACTGACCTTTGCTGAGATGATACGTAACAACACTGTAAAAGCAGGATGGGACATTGTTTCCCTTTACTGCAGGTCGATTACAATAAACATATGTACAGTGTGAAAGTACATTTTACATTCACAAGCTATCTGCGCAAAGCAAAAATGTTGTCCAACAGCAGTTGGGCATCTATACTAACATACATGCTTCGCTGAGCTTTTTGCGCCTCAACCAAAGCATCAGTCGCAAACTTAGTTGGCACAATCCAACAGCAGTGCTCCAGGACTAGCCTAACTGCAGCATCAGCTTACATGTTTAATATACACTGTACATGTACATGTACATGTAGGTCTGGATCATCCAGAACATGGACTGTACCGTACATCCACATTACACTTAAAGTTGCCATGTACTGGGTATATATTGAAGCAATATCTATCAACGCTGCAATCTTGCTTTCTTGCAAAGAAAGTATGGTACCGGTACATGTACAAAAATGTACATTGAGGCCAATATGCCATCGTGATGAAGTCCGTCGCTTTGAAACACAGAAGTGAACAATGTCAATCCTGCTATAACGCACAAACATAATAAAATAAATTTGTTCCAAGAGGAAGCCTTGTTAGAAAATCTCCAACGAACAAAATAAGATGGACCAATGAAGGCTGCTTGCTTTTTACTTAATCTTGGCTGAAACAGTAGGGCTGAGTCAATTTGAATAATGTACTACATGTATTTGAATATTTGACCTTCAATTCGATTGAATATACATGTATGAATATTCGGTCGTAGGTACCGACCTGCAGATTGCTGATGAACAAACCATACAAAATCAGTTGCAGTAACACTCACAATTGTACATTATGATCATTACATGTATAATAAATGTAGCTTCTCAAGTCTAGGGAGTTTCTCCAGCCATGATTAAGCAAGATTAAGATTAAAGAGACAAGTAATAATAAATGAAGCAGCGGGTACCGCGAACTATTTTCAAGATGTATTTTCAAGATGTACCCGCTGCTTCATTTGACTCGGACCGGCCAGCCGATCCCAGCA